GCGTCAAACCGAGCAAGATTAGGGTTTGGTCTATTATTGAGAATAAATCTTAGTTTTCTTCTTCTCTTCTCCAAGAGTCTAAGGACGATCGAAGTTCGATTTTGTGTGAGAGACTAGGCTCATCTTCTCCTCAACTTATCTTTTTACTTATTATTTATTTTGTTGGAATCAGATCAGATCAAATTAGACGAAGTTAGATCAAAATTTATTCTTATCAAATCAGAACGAATCAAATACATGACCTAATTCTCAAGATCAACTAAGCTATTCGTGCGGATAAGATTCAATCAAATCTAGAAACGGAAGGAAGGATGTTGGTATGAACACAAAAAAAGAATGACGAGAGGAAAACAGATGAAAAAGGTACAAATATAGGAGTAATTTACGGAGAATAATTAAGAGTACACACCACCCACGGACTATTACGGTGTGGTACAACTAATAATTCCACATTCCGTTATTAGCCGCCGCCATATTTATGCTCTCACTTTGTTCTCTTCCATTTAGAGACTCTTTGGAGTGACTAATTTGTACAAAAAGTGATTTTCATAAAAATTGGAAGTAAAAGCACCCCATATCAGCTTCTTTGAAATGGTGCTCTATGTGCAAAATAGTGGTGAAGAAAAGTAAAAGCTGATATGTCAAATAGGTTAAAACTACTTCTACTCAAATCAAAAGCTAAATTATTAAAAGCAGTGTACTGTGAAACACTCTCTTAAATTGTGTTTGAAAACGACATTAATATGTCAATGTAAACCTTTTGAAAATAATATATTACGGCTGCATTTAATTAAAGTATTCTCAAAATTAATCCACATGATTATAATTTAATCTAAAATGACAATGATAATTGGAGATATTATTTTCAAACAAGATCTAATTCTTATTACTTATGGGATACACTGTATCACTTATTCTTAATATATTAAGAATATATTTATTAGGAGAGTAGAATTTATTTAAGGACAGGAGAGTCATTTTTTGTTTATTTGTCTATCGGTCTAGTAATTTCTTTTTTATTTTTCTTTCTGGAATATCGAAAAATTTATTTCCCATTTTCTATTTTGGCAAAAAAACTTTTAATGAATGTATCATTATAATCATATTTTTTTTATCTAAACTATTTATTTTATTCCATCAGGGCAAAATATGTAAAATCTTTACATTTTTTTATTTTTCTTAATCTCTTTACCAGGTCAAACCATGAAAAAAAATTTCAGACAAAGTGAATAGAAAAATAATTAACCTCATATCAAAAAATCTTTTTGAACCGATCACACGATCAATTGAGGAGTTTAATTTTTTGTGTTTTTTTTACACTCTAACTTGTGTCATGTGTTTTTGCCACTCCCCCCTCCACATTCCTCAATAAATACTCTTCTTGCCCTCACATTTTTTCTCTATCTCATTATACTCTCTCTATACCATCTCTTTCCATTTTTAGAAAACAAAATTTAAAAAAATGGGCGTTTTTGGCGGAGCCTACGTTTCCCTTCTCATCTTTTCCACGATGTTACTAGCGGCGGAGGCTAAAATCCCAGGCGTATACACCGGCGGCGCGTGGCAGACCGCTCACGCCACCTTCTACGGAGGCAGCGACGCGTCGGGCACCATGGGCGGCGCGTGCGGGTACGGAAACCTATACAGCCAAGGCTACGGGGCGAACAACGGAGCCCTGAGCACAGCCCTGTTCAACAATGGCCTCAGTTGTGGGGCCTGCTTCGAGCTCAAGTGTGACGGCGACAAGTCTTGCTTTCCCGGCAGCCCGTCCATCGTCATCACCGCCACCAATTTCTGCCCTCCCAATTTTGCTCTGCCCAACGACAATGGCGGCTGGTGCAACCCGCCCCGCGCCCATTTCGACCTCTCCATGCCCATGTTCCTCAAGATCGCCGAGTACCGCGCCGGAATCGTTCCCGTCACTTACCGCCGGTGAGGTTCTTTCCTTTTTTCCGTACATTGCCTGCGAATTGTTGGACTGAATAGTAAAGTAGGCTTTGCCTAACAAAACCAGTTGAAAACTAAAAAATTGGTAAAATTTACTTAAAATATGGATTAAGCGATTTGTACATCCTACTCCATTTTCTACTCCAAAAGCAGGAACGGATATTTTTTAATAGCATAGTATTAGTGTGCTGATTTACATTGTCAAAGAATGTTAGTTCAAATTTTATAATTTACACTAACATTTTTTGTCTGTATAAACATTAAAATGTCGATGTATTTCTTTAAGATACAACTTGAGGAGTTGGGGTACACTTTTGTTGTTTAAAATATAGCTTAAAATATCAAAGACCTTAGTATATTTTTATACTAAGGGCCCACACAAGCCTCTCTGATCTAGAGAGGGAGGTAAATCAGAATCTAGGCATGCCTTCTAGGGGAGTGTTGTAGCTTATTTTTACTTAAAAGTATTGACACAAGTATGTACTCCCTCCCTTTGGAGTTTTTTTTCATAGTTTAATTTACAAGGTTTGCTTAACTTACTTTTAATGGATTTATTTAATTATATATATAGATTTAAAGTTTAAAAAAAGAGTTTAAATATGAAGTACTTAAAAACGTATGTAAAATAATTAGAGTATAAAACAAGAGGCGACATGCATGCATTGAATTTTGAAAGTAACGAAACTACAGACATGTTTTCTTCAAATTTTTTTATTACTTACTCCCTCCATTTGTAAAAAGACTTCCTATTTTGACTTGGAGCAAAAATAAGGAAGTGTTAAATTATAGTTGACTTCCAATTTTGCCCCTAATGTGATGGGTAAAAGTAAGATGTGATGGATAGATTATTAGAGAAAAAATATGATGTGATAGGTAGGGTATGAAAAAGTAAGGGTAAAAGTGGTTTTTTAATAGAAAGTGGAAGTGTTTTGTTGGAAGTGAAAAAAATGAAAGAGGAAGTGTTTTAAAAAACGGAGGGAGTATTATTTTTTTATTGAAATCAGTTCAGATCAGAAACAACTTTGAATATAACTAAATTTAAATCAGATTAAATCAGAACTTATTCTAATGAGATTGGAACCATTCAAATGAAATGAAGAGAGTATGATCCAAATTGATAAATTTTGGCCGTATGATTAGTAAAGGTGAATACAATTTCGAGATGAAGAGAGTAATGAGTACGTCTATTAAAATAAGATTTATAATGCCAAAAAATAATTCCACATAGTATACCAAATTATTGGGGTACATATGTCTAAATATATTCCTCAAAAAAAAAATTCTAAATGAATTATAAATATGTGCGTGAAATTACTGAACTGCCCATGGGATTTTGTGTATGGCGAACGCGCGCGCAGGGTCGCGTGCAGGAGGGGAGGAGGAATCCGGTTCACGATGAACGGCCACCGTTACTTCAACATGGTTCTGGTGACCAACGTGGGCGGCGCAGGGGACATCGTGAGGGCGAGCGTGAAGGGGTCGAAGACGGCGGGTTGGATAGAGCTGAGCCGGAACTGGGGGCAGAACTGGCAAACCAACGCCCTCTTGACCGGCCAGTCCCTCTCCTTCCGCGTCAAAGGCAGCGACGGCCGCTCCTCCACCTCCTGGAACATCGCCCCCGCCACCTGGCAGTTCGGCCAAACCTTCGTCGGCAAAAACTTCCGCGTCTGACTGAATGAATGAATACCCCCCGTCCACGTTAATATATATATATTAGTCTGTTTTTTTGTTTTGTTTTGTTTGGTTTTTAAAATGTCATGTTTGGGGTGAAGTTTGAGTGGTGGGAAAGGGGTTTGGGTTGTGTTTGCTGGTTGGGTGGGTATGGGTACTTTTTTTATATTAAAAAAAATGAGTGGTGTAAATGTAAAGAGGAGAAGCTGAAGTGACTGCACGCACAAGGTTATTTGGAATGTAGCAGCCCGCAGCTTCTCTTCATATGAAAGAAAGAAGAGAGGAAGCAACAATTAGTACAAGGATTTATACATACTCTTGTAATAGTTATGGTGTGTTTGGTAGTGCTACTTTTAAAATTTTAGTCTCTATTTTGGATGGTAATCGTTTTAAGGCATGTCAATTTTTGGTTTTTTTCATCATCATTTTACATACTCTCTTCGTCTAATAATGAGCTTCTCAGTTACTATAATGTTTCTCGATAATATATGTTTGTTTGCATAATTTCATCAATCATTTAATAATATAAAATATTGCTCGGAATGTGTGATTAACGCACTCTCAATTCTTGCCATGAGAGACCGTTGGCACAACCTATTTAAAAATTAAGAGGCATTGGTTTAATTTTTAATGTTTGGGGTGAATTGGACAATTTTCAAAAAATTCAAGAGCAAATGATGTAAAAAACTCCTTTTAAATGTTTGTAAACCAAAAAGTTATTGTCTATAAATATGGAGTAGTTGAATAGAAAATGATTGTTTTACCTCATGCGAGTGCTTAACATGCCCACATGGCATAGTTACTTGGTTTTAGAAGGGACATATATGAAGTAAGGCTCAAGAGACGATTTTGGTGAGGTGCAATGTGGAAGAGATATTTTGAGGTAATTTTGACAATAAAAATTAGTTTCTTGCATGTTTGTGTGGCTAACTTTTTTTAAGAGACTATTGTATTCTTGATTTACCTCCATCTTAGATACCTTGTCGGGTTAAAATTGGGACAAAGACAATATATTAAGTTTCATTTTTATATTTTTGTCTATTAACACATACCGGAGTACTTCGTATCTATCTACGAGAGGTAACAATAAATTTTAGTGTACAATTTAGAATTCCATACTTCCATTTCAATAAATTTTTTACACTTTGGAATAAGATACTTGATAGACCGCCACTGCCACATTGCCACCGTCTCCACCTCATTGCCACTACTGCCACATTGCAATTGCTTCCGCACTTCTACCCTTTTCACCACATTGGCCCTGTCACCACCATTGTCGCTACCACACTGCCAACTTCGCAACCACACTACCACCACCACTGCGACACTGCCAACTCTATCGCGCGCCACATTGCCACTCATGCTGCCACACTGCTATAATCATTGACACCACCACCACACTACAACTTTTTGCCGGCACACAACCACCGCCATATAACTTTATACCAAAAAAATAAGGAGAAAAAAAACAAATTCTAAAAGACATGAATCAAAGTCCTCTTCAAGAGTTAAAATTATGAATGCACATAAATATTTCTCCAATGATTGTGTTTGTGTGTCATAATCACATTACACGGCTCCCTCTTCAAGAGGCGGAAGTGAAGCCGACGGTGAAAGGGAGGCTGATTGTTGAAGTTGAAAAGGTCATCGAAAAATTTAAGCCTCGCTGGAGGTGAAAGAAGGGCAAATTAGGCATAATTGTCATCCCATTGCACGGCTCCCTCTAAATTTTATTTTTTATTTTTATATTAATTTTATATAAAAATAAAAAAAGAAAAAATTTAATATTTCGAATTTTAGGCGACACACATTTTCGCGTGCCCCTTGCATTTTTGACTTCTTTTTTCAGTGGGTTTAATTTTGACAAATTAGCATTGATAGGGGGCCCCCGCTGGTTTTCTTTATGCGCAACGAGTCAACTTGCGTCAATTCACAAGACAAGAAACGGTAAAGTTGCGGCTGGCTTTGGATACCGATTTGGATGTCATTTGTCCATAAAGAAGGTTTTGAAGTTTTTTAAAAATAAATTTCATAAATCATCTCTAATTGTATGTAATTTTTTATATTTAATCTTTAATTATAAGATATTTGATAAATAGTGCTTAATTTTGGAAAACTATTTCACAAATAATCGTTTTCACCAAATATGACAAAATATTTTGTGTAAATTCTTAGAATTGTCCATTCTAATAAGATTTTTTCTAATCATCAATATGCAAAAATTACTAACATGACCCTTTATAATTGAGATGTGTTTTCTAAATAACTTTTTATCAAAAACTACTAATGTCTAGATCTAATTGTTTTTCTTTCTCAAAACATAGATCTCATCTTTGCTAAGACTGCCCTGAGCTGGTAAGCCACAAGGAGATCGTCATCTGAAACAGATTGATCCTTGTGTTTTAGATCGCAACCGTCACCGCGCACAAAGAGATTGCGACCACTGTTGCCACTCCAATGTCGCGACAACGCCACTCCACCGTCGCCACTCCGTTTCAGATTCAGTGAAGCCTTCTCTCTTCTGAGAGGCTTTTCCTCTTCCTTTTTGTAGATGGTTTTTTCTCAGATTCTTCATCTTGTCGCAATTTTAATTTTTGATTTGTTTTAGAACCTATCGTTGATTAAAGAACCATGGCTGTGTCTTGAAAGAAGAAAATATCAAGAAAGAAGGCCAGTGATTTTTGTTCAATTTCAGTCCAGTGTCAAGAGGGAGAAAGAAGGATTTAGAGGGCATTTTGGAAAAGTCAACTCAATTTTTACACTCTCTTAAAAACCACCTCCAGTCAAACCGGGAAGATGGTTTTAGAACGGAGGGAGTATTAATATAACGGTCGGGTTCTAGTGACACTAGAAAACAGTGCAACTAGCGGTGCCACTGCGTTTTTGGGGCACCTCTAATGCTCCGTTCGTAAAATTGACGGTTCCTACCTCCCCTAACTCACCTCCTAAACCCCCACCCTACCCCCACCCCTGCACCCCCACCCCAACCCCACCGTTAGCCCCCCACAAAATGTGTGGCTATTATGCAATGCATAATAGCCACACATTTTGTGGGGGGCTTACGGCGAGGTTGGGGTGGGGGTGCAGAGGTGGGAGTAGGGTGGGGGGTTTAGGAGGTGAGTTAGGGGGGTAAGAATCGTCAATTTTACAAACAGAACAACGGAGGTACCCCAAAAACGCAGTGGCACCGGAGTGACACCGTTCTCCTGTGTCACTAGAACCGAGCCGATTAATATATTGCATTGTAAAAGAATTGAGCCTTTTGTAAAAAAGAAAAGATCCACTTGTCAACCTATAAAAAGTGTGAAAATATCTACATACGGAAGAACAAATCATGTGGTGCTTGATTTTCAACTTGTGACTAAAATAAAGCAAATGACAAATATCTATGTAATGTTTTCAAATTATGTGTTCAAAATAATAATACGTAGTATTTTTTCAAAAGTTTAATCATAAGGCCGAATCACCATCTATATAAGTGGAAGAAGCAAATCCCAACTAGAGCGATCAAACATCTAAGTCAGAATCCAGTTCAAATTATGTTTGAACTTGGATGTCTCAAATTCAGGTTGATATTTTTCTTTGCTAATGGCTCTCAAAGTATTGTTGGGAACCTTTACTTTTAAAACATTTAAATACTCAAAGTATTGTATAATAGTACACTATTCGGATTCGTATAAAATATTACTCTGTAGTCTGTACTAATTAATCCCTCCCTCCGGAAATTTTCTTTCCATTTGACTTTTTACGGTCTTCAAGATTGCACTTTGACCACTAATATCTTTATTTATACATAGATATATTTTGTAAAAATTTGATATTCGAAAACTATATATCAAAAGGAATATATTCATATTAAAGTTATATCGTGATACAATGTATTTTTTCCATAAATCATAGTCAAAGTTTATAAAATTTGACCAAAAAAAGTCAAATGGGAAGAATATTTCCGGACGGAGGGAGTACTAATTAGTTGTGACTACCAAATAATGGTAAGGCAACATCACCACCCTCTCTATACTTATACCAGTACAAAAAAAATGTTTTTTTTTTCAACTTTTGAGCCAAGTTATCCAAACTTTAGCTTCCGAACTCCAGATTTCAATGTCTAAAATCTACAATCCAATTCCAAACCTCCTCTCTAATTCTCCGTTTGGATCAAACGGAGGATTAGGTACCCGATGTTATAAACGACATAGGATTCTAATGACATTCGAGTATGATTTTTTTTAATCTTTGGCCATAAGTAAACTTGTTAATCTCATTTAAATTAACTGGTAATTCTACCGCATATACAATAATACCCTCACCAATATGTCTCTCAGCCTTAAGGCCACCTACCTTCTGATGTTAGATGTTAGACATCTAAATTATGGGCTAAATACCCAAAAGTTCTAGGCCAATAGATAATTACCCAATGCTCTTCTAGTAGTGGTTAATTAGTACTATACCTCCATATCAGTAGTATACCCTGCTCTCAGGTCTTCTTCTTCCCCCTGAGTGTCCTCCACTGTTTCAGTATTAGCTCCGCTCCCTCCTTGACTGAAGCCCTTCTGTTCTCCTTTGTATTCCACAGCTCTGCCACTGGGTACCTCCCACTAGGGTTGTACTCATTCATCTCCTTCAATGCGGTCGTCACGGCTTCATACACTTCCTCGCCGTGCTCCCCCTTCAGACCCGCCAGTCTCTCGTCTTCTTCATCTATGACCTCCTCCACCACCTCCTGAAAGTTTGATGCCCGGGATGAAAAAAAGAATAGTATATAACAAAAAAAATGCTTAATAACATTGCCAAAGACCTTTTGGTCGAACGTCGTAACTTTGGCTCTCCCAAATGGGAGGTCACAGGTTCGAACATTAGTGGAAGGAATGACTCGTTGTGGTTGAGTAGATTCAAAAAGTAGGTATGAACGGATAATACGTTGTAATAGAATTATTAGTACTAAAAAATACTTAGAATATGTGAATATTTGAAGAATACATACTTCAGCAGACTTATCTGAGCCATCTCCTTTCTTAACGATGCACTTAAAAGGATGCCAGTGTGGGTCTCTTAGGTGATTGTCCCACACTGTCCACAGCTCAAGAGCTTTCTGCTCTGCTTCTTTTTTCGGATGTTTATTCTTGAAAACGTTAATGAATGGCCTTGTATCAAGATCCCCCATTCTCTTCACGCAGATGTTGGCACGGCTGTCTATCAATCCCTGTCAAACAAGCCAAGTCTAATAATGTTGATTGATATACATTAGCAGTTTGATCAAATGAAAATCAGTTTTTTATTCTACGTCAATAGCTTCAAGGATCCTGTGAAATACACTCTTTCTAGATCCATAACTAGACCATATATGTCAGTTAAAACAGCCAGTTAAAACAAAACTATATGATGGCATTATATTTTTATGATTTAAATAATTGCATATTACTCCGTATATTATATGAAGCATGTGAATTCAAATAAAAGGCTCACTTTGATCAACTCTTTACGAGCATCTTGCACTTCATCATTGTCGCGCCGACCCTTTATCATAAGTTCACTGTTCAGGTTTTCCAAACATTCAAGCTCCTCTTCCTTCTCCTTCAACTCTTCTTCAATTGCTGTCAGTTTTTTCTTAGCTGACAAATCTCCTTCCTCACCCATGTGTCGCCTAACTTCAACTTCACCTCTCAACGACTCTATCTTCAATTCAAGTGCCTGCTTCCTATCAAGTTCTCTTTCCAGCTCAATGATTTTTTGGCGATACTTCTCCTTTTCTCTCTGAAATTAATAGCATATATGCATACATTAACACCATTACCAACTTCATCGCATTTCATTGAATTTGCATGTAGTCTGCCTCATAGAGAATAGGAAAACATACTTTTTGGTCTTCAGCCAATTTTAACATTGTCTCACCAGCCTTTTTTTGAGCAAGAATTGCCCTCTCATTCTGCAGAGAATAAAAACATTCCATAACAGAATTCATTACTTTGATGCTTGAACATTTGAATAGGTTGTTTGTTTTTGTTTTGCTTCAGGAACTTAAACATGAACAAAGCAAGGTCACAATAATCAAGGATCAGAAACTAAAGAAACCAGTATACTTCGATTTCAAATATTCTCTCTAGCAGCTGGTATCCAGTTAAAACTCACAAGAAACATAATTATTGAGCATTTCATTACACCAATAGAAATAGAGAGGATCATACCATTTCTTTATCGTTGTCAAGCTTCCTTTTCTCACTCTCATTGAGTTTTTCACGTAATCTCAGATCCCTTTCAAGCTGTTTAAGCTTTTCGCGTTTGTCATTCAACTTTTGTTTAGCTCTTTCGTTCTCTCCCAGAATGCTTTGCAGCTCTGCCATAGCCTTCTGTTGCATCTTCTCCAGCTCTAACAAAAAGGAAAAAAGTGAAGTACAAGATTATAGATGCATGTGAGACATCAAATATCATATGTACGCTCTCTTATGAATATTTAAGTTAAAAAAGAGCACATCACAAGACTTGCTATATGGGTAACATGAAAAGCAGTTTGGTTTTTGTACCTTTGTTATATTTTGCAAGCATTTCATCCTTTTGCTTCATCACATTGTTCATTTTCCCTTCAGTTTTACTTATCTTTTTGGTCATCTCCTCACATTTCTTGTTCTTCAACTCTATCTTATTGGCCAAGTCAGAAAACAGCTGTGTATTCTTTCTCTGGTTCTCATTTTGGATCTCAGAAATTGATTTGAGGTCTCCACTTTTCCTCAAGTAATTGCCAATTAGGCCAGGGGCATTGTAATCAGCACGACCCGCAATCCAAGCATAAAGCTTGTCGTCTCTCTTCCCCGAGACCCATTCCACCTTTCCATGTTTACCTAGCTCAAACTCTCGCACAAGCGCCATTGCATTTTCAAAACCAGAAAACTCGCGACTAAATTCAACAACCGCAAAGCCAGAATGGCCCCGGCTCCTCCACAGAGGGTGAACCTTCAAAGGGTTATACCCTTTGGCAATCCACTCCTCTTTCATCTTGTGACCACTATCACCAACAAACCTTCCATCCTTAAGCTCAACTGGAACATTAGCAACTATTGCCTTCCAAGGCCAGACAAAAGATTCATCATTACGGTTGGTTGGAGGCACAGACCTGGGAATGAGGAATGAACAGCTGAAAAACAGGATAATGGTATTAACAAATTACATACCATAAGAAATGAAAACGAGAAATTCAGATTTTTCACAGATTATATGTCATCTGCAAAGCCTTTCATGGCTAATTTGATAGTCATGTCCACCACTACATTTGTAAACCAACCAAGTTATGTACGGAGTATATAGGAAGAAGGCATCTAACAACCAGCTAAACAGGAAATGCAACCACGAAGATTTTCATAAGGTCTGATGTTAGAAGTTATAGTTTTTACTGATTGTGAATGAAAATTAACCCTAATGATGGCATTTTGCCTAATTTCAAATGTGATTAGAAATTAAGAATTTCCTCTTAAGTATTAAAGGGCATGTTAGAACGAAATGCAGTTTAAATTCAATGATAAGAGGATTATATAGAGAAACATAGAGCAGATTACTTACCTCCGTTCATCTTGTCCATCTCTAGGGCTTCCTCGTCCGCCGTCAAACTTATCCATGGAGTTGGGAGAGGACTTGTCTCTGTCCAAAAAGGGTGACAGAGGGCGCGCTGGAGGAGATGAGTCCCGACCTTTCCAGTCGTCCCTCCGAGAGACCTTGCCGGAAAAGTGTGAGGGAGAGGAGCGACGGCCATCCCAGCCATCCCTCTTAGCAGACTTGTAAGAAATTTGGGAAGAGAAGCGGCCAGAGGGAGGAGAACGACCACAATCGTAGTCATTACTCCGAGAGCTCTTGTAAGAAGAGTGGGGAAACGAGCCGCGCGAGGGAGGAGAACGACCGCGGCCATAGTAGCCATCTCTCCGGGAGCTCTTGTAAGAGGGAGGCGGCGGAGAGCGCCGCCGCGAGCGAGGAGATCGGCGGCCGCCATCATAGTCTTCCCTCCGAGAGCGCTTGTACGACAAATGTGGCTTCGAGCTTCGCCGTGGAGGAGAGTCACCGCCTAGGCTATCCCGGTAAGGAGAGGGAGGAGAGCAGGACCTAGAGCGGCCCCGGCTGTACTTGCGGCCTCGAAGCGGCGGGGACCGACTGCGAGCGGAGTAGGTCCTTCGTCCACGTCGTCTATCAAAGTCCCTTACATCTCTCTGTTCCCGATAGTCACGGTCACGGCTTCTCCGTCGCTGTGGCGGAGGTGGAGGTGGAGGTGGAGGAGAAGGCTCGCCCTTGCCGGGACTGCACTTGTCGACGGGAGCCGAGTCCATAACTCCGGCCATCGATTGGGGTGCAGTACGGGGGAGTGGGGAAGACGCCAATGGTAATGCGGATATTACCCTCTGCTGGCGCCTGTACAAATTTGTCTTCTACCGCTCTAATTTACCAAAATCACCCCCGCCTTTCTTTCTTTCTACGCCATATCAACGGTCGCAGGTTTCGGCATCTGCAGTATCCAGTCTACATCTGCTGGTACAAGTCTACAATTGAAAAGAGTAGAGGATATACTCCCTCCGTCCTATAATGATCTTCCCAGAATACTATTCCAACTTCACGGAAATTTATATTTATTTGTGTTTTTTCATGGCCTATATGATAAAATAAAATATTCTTGTCACCACTTGTTTTGTTGAACTTTTGGTGTAGTTTTTAAATATGTATGTTTTATTTTTTATTTCTATACCAATATTTAAATAAAATAGATTGAAAAAACTTGGGATTTTTCTTCGTTTTGCGAACCAGAAATATCATTATAGGACGGAGGGAGTATTTATTTTAGACCAAAATTTTTAAAAGGTTAAAGTTATATGTACCCCATGTTTTATACTCCACTTTGTACCCCGCAGATTTGCACCAACACTTTGTGTTGTTGCAAAACTAATTTTTGTTAATGCTCCATCACTTTGTGTCCGTGTAAATTTTTGTTAACGCACCAACACTTGTGTCGGTGTAAACCATCAAAATGTTTGTGTATAGCTGCGGTGTACAAATGGGGTACAATTTGTGGTGTAAGTGTAGCATGACCCTTTTTAAAATTGCACTTTCTATGTCCCGAAATATTCACAATATTTGCATTTTCAGCAGTCACGGAACTTTTGTTTATTTCTACGTTTTCATTGATTATTTGATAAAATAAAATAATCTTGACACCTCTTATTTCGAAGAACTTTTCATGTAGTTTTTTTATATGTATTTTTTCTTTTTTATTTCTTTACCAATTTGTAAATGAAATGAATTGAAAAAAACTGGATATTTTGTATCGGTAATAGAAATGTGACAAATAACTTGAGACGGAGGGAGTAATTCAATATACCGAAATTTTAAATAAAATTTTTAAAATTCAATTGAATATTTTTAGGAATTGTTGGTGAGTTTTAAGGAAATGTTTTGAAATTTAAAAGATATGATATGAGTTTCGAAATCTAAAATGATGTTTAAAAATTTAAAATCATTATTTGATTAAAGATTGGCGAGGTCACCGACAATGGGGTAATTTGTTTGTGGTGGTGTAGCGAGTGGGCCGAGTGGCTGAGAATGATCGCCACTTGAGGGGAGAATGGGAGATATCAAATTCTTACATTGATATCTCCCAATTCAGAAGATATTGAAGCCCTACATTTAAATTATTTGTGATATCTCGAGATATTAAATTTAAATTCTTTTTATGTCTCACCAAATAATAAAATAGAAATATGATATCGAGAGATATGAAAACCATATCTTATACGCTTACTAGACATGTCCTTAGTCTTTTACTCCCTCTATTTTTTTAAAAACATTTTCTCTTTTTTGGTTTTCTTCAAAACACTTCGAGTGTCAAAAGAAATGACTAATATATCCAAATGAAGTCATTAAAGTATACTCTATCCATTTTGCATTAATGTGACAACTTATTTTTTGTGATTTCTCTCTTATTTTATGCTAAAGATATATTTAAATATTCAAATTATAAAAATAAATCTGCTAAAAGTCAAAATAAGAACATTTTTTACAAAAAAATGGAATAGAAGACAAAATCTTATTGACTTCATATTAAATTACACGTCTCTTATATTTACGTGCTTTTCGTCTCCATTTAAGTTGCAATTTTATTATGTACATATTCAACCTTTAATTAGTCTTTTACAATATTTTGTTAGTCATTTAGTAAAATAATAATCATGTCGTCTCTGAATTTGGGGGTGCATTCCAGTTGGTTTGATGCTTCGCTTTACATGTAACGTTTTGGAGCGATTGTGGGAGAGTGTTTTCTCGAGTAGACATTCTTTTTTTACCGCTACTTACGTCTCCCTTTGGAGTCTATAGACTATGTGGTGGCCGAGGCACTTCCATACAAAGAGGTTCTATACTTCTGTTATTATTTAAGAAGAATGAAATTCAAGAGATGCTTCTTTTTTATTGGTGAGTAGAGATTCTTATTAATAACTATTAAAACTTATATCTTGGTTTACCCAAACAACACACATACGGAGTATATCGGTTAACCGAATAAACCGATAACCAAAACCGACACAAAACCAAAGTACCCGAAATAACCGAATTTTTTATCATCGAAAACCGAAACTGATTTAGTGGTTACTTCGGTTTTCGGTTTCACGGTCGGTCCGGTTAATTTGCTCTCCCCTAGAAATTGTTAGATTGACTCTTATCATTCATTTGAATGATTAGAAAAGAGAAAGAAATAAAGTGAGAAAACACACATTGCAAATTACAAGTATAATTTTTATCATTTGTTTTGGTGAAAAGATCGAGAAGGAGATAAAATTGTAATTAAAAAAAGGTTTCTCTCCTACACGAGTCAAAATATGACATCATCATTAGTTTCTTATCACTTTCTATACTTTCTATTAATTGAAACTAGACTCCTACTCGTGCATTGCACGAATTAATTATAAAATATATAATTAGAGAAAGCATTGATAAAAGAAAATGATAAAATTAAATAATAATAATAATAACATATAATCAAATAATAAAGAGATTGTAAATACTATACATGTTCATTATGAAAGATCACTTCCATTGAATCTTCGTCTCTTGCCCCAGCCGGAACAATGTAGACACTAACAGCTCGTAGCATAAGCGTCCAAGTGGTTCGACAATTGTTAATCTCGGTAAGCGCATTCCACATACTCTTTGAAGGTTTTGAGACATTTTTTTAAAGTGTACCACATTGGGATGAGTATGAAATGTTTGGAATATAAGTAGTACGTAGTATATATTATTGGACAATCAATCTACTCATTAAATATCTTGATTTAGTAAATTTATTCCTTTAATATAATTTGAAATAAAGTATGCATGGAGTCACGCACCAACTTTACTACGCATGCGGTTCATAACAATACAATACCCATTTATTTATTTTGAGTTGACATAAAATTTGCATCGCGTCATGCACCAATATTACTACGCGCGCGGTTACATATCAATAAGCTACACATTTATTTATTTTGATTTGACATAAAGTCTGCATCGAGTCATGCACCAACTTTACTACGCACGCGTTTTCATAGCAAAACACTACACATTTATTTATGTTTATTTGACATAAAGTTTGCATCGAGTCACGCACCAACATTACTACGCACGTTGTTCCATATCAATACACTACATATTTATTTATCTTGATTTGACATAAAATTTGCATCGAGCCACGCACCAACATAACTATACACGCGGTTCTATATCAATACACTACCCATTTACTCTCTCCGTTCTAAAACTTTCTTCCCAGTGCACTATTCCAACTTCACGGGAATTTATATTTATTTGTGTTTTTTCATGGCCTATATGATAAAATAAAATATTCTTGTCACTACTTGTTTTGTTGAACTTTTGATGCAGTTTTTAAATATGTATGTTTTATTTTTTATTTCTATACCAATATTTAAATAAAATAGATTGAAAAAACTTGGGATTTTTCTTCGTTTTGCGAACCGGGAAGAAAGATTTAGGACGGAGGGAGTATTTATTTCGATTTGACATAAAATTTGAAAAATGAAATTTTTAAAATGAAGTTATTAATCCATCCATTAAATGCTTAGAAATAGGAGAAATATAAATTAAATGGATTTGACATAAAGCAAATTGAGCAATGGGATATATTTGACACTACTTTTAGTTTTACTTTATGGAAAAATGCACAAATGATTTGACCTGAAAATGTCGAAGCTAGCAACCGCGTCAGTCAGCCCACTTGACCCAATCCATACCCGAACTCACTACCCGTTAGTCTGCCCATTCAGTCCGGTCCATACCCGAACTCACTACCCAATGATTTTGGCGGCAACATTGTTCCCAAAACCATAATCTCTTCATTTTCTCTCTGTATCCAAAGAAATCAGTAAGGATTTTATTTTAGTGTACAAACAAATAAAAGTTATTGAACGACCGTAAATCTGTGATATTGACAGTGACATCCGTTTATGGATGGGGGGGTTTTTTTTTGTATTGGAATCACTTCAAATTAAATCGGATAAAAAATAGTTTTAAATATAATTACATTCAGATTAGTTTATACCAATACTTATTCCAATAAGATAAGAATTATTTTTTGGTGTTTGTTTATCCTAATGTAAATATATTTGTCACAAAAAAATGAAATGTTTTTTTGGTGTTTATCTAGAATCTAGATACGGCAAAAAAAGAAAAAATGAAGGCAAAATTGACAAGAATACTCTCAGAAATTTCAAATTTCACATAAATACTCCCAAATTTGTTTATTCACACCATTACTCCCACATTTCTCTTTTATTTAAATCATTACTCCCAAATTTGGTAGTGATCATTAGTGATACTTGGATGTGTCTTTTTTGCGTTAAGTGAACAGTTAAAATGCAGACACGTATTTTTTTTCACTTTGATATACCAAATTCACTTCAACTTATTCTTTTCATCGTCTTTTCTCACATCTTAGTAAGCCCAATCATTGTCCTTCTTTCCTATCACTTTTTTTAAAAAATTCAGATTTCAAACTTTTAAATCTTTTTAATGTTTAAAATCAAGTTTGTTCATATTACTTTAATTTGAATTCAATAAAAAAGGATGAAGAACCTCGTATAAAGAGACGCACCCGAGGAATACTGATGATAAAACAATCGCGGAGTAACGACGTAAATAACAGACAAATGTGAGAGTAACTGTGTAAATAAACAAATTTAAGAGTATTTATGTAAAACTTGTAATTTCTGGGAGTGTTCTAGTAAATTTTGCCAAAAATGAACTGTTTATTTGGGGAGAGAGAGTACATCTTTTAAATAGTTCTATGGATTTGTATGGCCATTTGTGACCTCTAGCAATTTTCCATTCGATAAGTCCCATTCTTCTTCGTTCAGTTGGTTCCTGGCTCTTATTTTGATCGTCTCAGTGGGCGTGCCATCATCTGATTACCCTCCTCTCATCTCCTTCATTCATTTTCTTCCAAGGTAAGATTCCTCTTCTTCTGTAAGTTTTTGGGCGTGATATGAAATCACAAAAAACCCTAGAATTTGGATTGCGTCTGATGGGCTCTCTCTCGCTGCATATTATTTCATAATTCATACACAATTCATTGTTTTCATATTAATTTCAAGCTGAACTTACCGTTTCGGATTCAATTCCGCATAAATCCACTGTCTTTGCTTGTGTTTTTATCCCCATTTATCGAAATTTATGTTACTACGGTTTCCTGATTTCTTGTCTTTGCGATTTTGATCAAAGGTTGGTTTTTGTTGACCCACAGGGTTCAGGGTAAATCGTCAAAATGCCGGCCACAGCAGGAAGAGTTCGTATGCCGGCGAACAACCGGGTGCACAGTAGTGCAGCCTTACAAACCCATGGTATCTGGCAAAGTACAATCGGGTATGACCCGTATGCTCCCAACAAGGAAGAATCCAAAAAATCGGAGCCAAAATCCGCTGACCCCGACAATCCCTACAACAACTTTAGGGGTTTGCTTGACCTTGCGCGGATGAGTGGCTCTAGTGCTGATGTGGCTCGTGGGGCCTGCAACAAGTGTGGGCGTGTCGGGCACCTAACGTTTCAGTGCAGAAATTTCTTGAGTGTCAAGGAGGAGATCAGTAAAGCAAAGGATGACGATGATGGTGGAATTGCAGTGGAATTGGAGAAGTGGAAGGGGAATAGGGATAAGAAGGCGAATGGCGAGAGTGAGGAGAGTAGTGAGGAAGAGGAGAGTGAAAGTTCTGATTCAGAGTATGATTCTGAAATTGAAAGGGCAATCGCTGAGAGGTATGGGAATGTTTCTAAGAAGGTTATTCATAAGGTGAAGAAGCCATCATCGGGAAAGAAGAGGAGCGATGATTCAGATTCTAAAGAGAGAAAAAGGAGGGGAAGATCGAAGAGAAGGAGAAGTGGCAAGAGGGGGAGTGGGGGTTCAGAGGATGAAAGTGAAGATAAGGACCGTAGGAAAACAAGGAAAGAGAAGAGGAGGAGAAGGGATGATTCATCAGATGAATCAGATGAAGAACAACACAGTAAGAAGAGGAAAGGCCGGAAGGAGAAGAGGAGAAGGAGAAGCCATAGGCACCCGGATGATTCAGACCCAACTGATGATTTGTCCCCTCCTCGGCCTAAGCGAAGGGGAAGGAGGCATGGAACATCATCTGACTCTGATGCCTACAATTCTGATGACTTGCGAGTTGGGAGGGACAGAAAACGGTCTGAGAAGAGGAGCAGGAAGCGACACCATGACAATGAAGACTAATGTCCTCATCAAGGTAATGCATATTTTAATCAATTCTTTTAGCTTTGTAGAGAAAGTTCTATTCCATAAGCTCATGAGAGTTTTTGGCTTGTAGGAACATTGCTAGTGCAACGTGTCCAAAGAGCTGGAGCTTCAATTATGACTACGGTATATTCCATTATGCCCCTCTGGATCTAAGCTCTTCTACATTGCAAATTTATTTGACTCGTGAAACCCTTTGTGTTTAAGATTTGTTGATACTTTGTCGAATCATGTGCGCTTTATTTGTTGCCTTCTTTAATTGCGTGTATGTGCCCAAGTGTGGAGTTGTGTCTTTGTTGTTGGCCATATGAAAGAATTGGAGTAAAGTGCATTGTTTACCCCCGTACTCTTTAGAAATTGCATGTTTTACCCCTGAACTATAAAAATTGCACTGTTTACCCTCGAACTCCTTGAAAATTGCACGATTTACCCCTGCATACTAAAAAATGCACCAAATACCCTTGAACAAATTAAATCGTTATATCGTTGGTCCTAAACTATTAGATAGGAAGTGCGTTGCTTCCACGCACAACAATTGCGAATATGATTCATCTGACCCTTTTGATTTTTCCAAAGTGCATTTCCCTAAAATTGTCGTTTTTATTTAAATGTTCAGGAGTAAACAGTACAATTTTCGAAAAATTTAGGGATATTTGGTGCAATTTTTATTGTTCAGGGGTAAAGCGTGCAATTACTAAAGAATTCAGGGGTATTTGGTGCACTTTTTAAAGTTCGAGGGTAAACTGTGCAATTTTCAAAGAATTCGAGGGTAAACGGTGCACTTTTCTCGAAAGAATTGTGTCTTGTACTTGTTTTGAACTTTGTCACTGGCTTGTTGGCTTGTTATTACCAGTATTTGCTATTGGTATCGAGGAAACGTTAAGGTTTATGTTTGTTGCATATAAGATCTCAAACCTCAAAATAATTGTTCATGGCAAGTTTTAGGTAAATGAAGTAATCAGACAAGTTCGCTGTTTAAAATGTCATCGCTGAATTCACCCACAACTTTACATGTTCAATTTTTTGTCCCAATTTGGTATGGACACAAATACGGAATCGCAATGGTACCGAGTTGGTATGAAATGGTACCAAACCAAAAAGAGGGGTTCTAAACAGTGTCATGACTTTTCGGTCCCAAACCAACACTGTATCAATTGGAACGGGTACAGGATCGATTCTAAGTTTTTGAAGCCCTAAAATACTGGATCAGATTGCTCAACTCAAACCACCAAGGATTTTTTTTATTACTTGTATTATTTTACTTTAGTCCACATTTGTTTCCCTTGATCCACCACTTTTGATCCAACCCTGTCTAGAAGTTTCGAGAGTAATAATGTTATAAGATCAATTAGAATATATATTTATCTAGCTTATAAGTTTAAATGAACAATTTTGCCCTTTCACTTCCCTCCTCTTAAATAACATGCAAGTTATAAATGGGGTAGACATAGCCAAATGAGGTTTGGATTTAGCAATACCAAACTTGAAATCTTGAATGTTATTTGGTTGAATATAAAACTCTTTAACTGGCGTGGATCATTTTAAACAACAAATTGTGTTCAATTACACTATGGTTTAGCATTGGTATGACGTGATATTGCTTTGTTTCAAAATGTTTCGGTACAAAATAGTTCTAGGACTGAAAAGTTAAAACCGACTCTGTACTAGGACTAACAAATTGGCTGAATACTTGTACTCCGTAGTACATTACCATCCCTCAGAATGTATTGAAACGTACCATATTGTGCCTACCCCTTGAACATTCCGACTCGTTTGGATGGAACTGTATTCTCTTGGAATTGTATTTTGAAAAAAAAGAGAGAATTTTGCTTGTATTAATTTTGTAATAGGCAAGTAAATAGACTTGAAAAAGTTATAACCCCCCTACTTTCTCTTTTTATCCAACTCAGACATTGCACTTTAGCATGGAAGCAATTTACCTGTGAAATCCTCCCAATAATACCTCTAGTAGGCATGCATACCTTGCAAAATCTCTACATAAAATATTGTTGTCATTTTTTATACACTAGGTTCCTAGTAGATTTGATCTACCACATTGTTGATGAAAGCAAGTTTTTGTTAAAAAAAAAAAACTTTTACATTTTGCATCTAGGATGATTTTAATTCAAGACCATCCACAAGGAAGGGTTTTAAGAGAATTTGATGATAAGTTGTTATCAATTACGGAGTATATGTTTAAGAATGATTAGGTTCAGTTGAAAGTTGATAGTGGATTGGGGGCTCAGGTGGGGGGTGAGCTGGGGGTTGTGGGGTTGGGTTAGAGGGAGATATGAATCGCTTCAAAATCTAAAAAAAAAACTTTGAGGGTGTCCAAATGGGCCGAGTGTCACCGTATGACACTCACTGCGAGTGTCAAAAGAAAAAGGCGGGTGGAAAATTTTCGAAGTATAACCACAACTCGCTATTTTAGAACAGTTGCCGTTAGAGAACTAGAATCGAACCTCACACGCGGTAGTGTACGTGTGAGCAACCTCTTAAAAAATGAGGGGTGTGCAGTGAGCACTGCTGCACTGGTCGTAGCCTCTGTTGGCGATTGAGTCACCATGATTTACATCCTGTTTCAATTTTGCCTTTGGAACTGGAATATTTCCCGTTATTGGCTCAAACATCTCAAAGTATTGCTCTGGGACATACATGTTCAAACAAATTAAACGAATTTCTTAAAGAGTTCACTTAGTCATTAGAGTTAATTAAATTATTTAAACCATACTCTCTTATTAGTTGAATAAACATTTTCATAATATCACCAAAAACATTTAATTTGCTTATAAAAGAATGTTTATACATTATTTCGTGAATTTAAAATGAATACAAGTTCTATATATAAAGAAAATAGCCTAATATTTTGGGATCGATTTGTCAGAGTTTTCGCCCTTCTACGTTATGGTTGTAATGGTAAAGCCAAAAAAATACGGAGTAGCTTTAACATCGCCACATCAAAAGTTAAAACCTACAAACCTTTTTAAACAAACAATACAAACTTTAACAAAATATTTACATTTAAGTAAAATAAACCAAATAAATTACTCCGTATTATATTTAATCAAATTAATTAAAATATTTTTTCTTTTGTTAAATTAAATAAAATATATTTATAGATATGCAATCACAAAAAAAATTAAAAAATTTAAAAAAAAGCAATATATGTAGATTGGTGGGGACCACCATTCCCCCGTAAACCCAACTCTCTAGTTTAAAAGCTAACTTTAAATCTTTTTTACCACATCCTCTCTTTGTAATGGTTAAAGCTAGCGTTTTGGGTTTAAAGGTAGATTTAAACACACCACTACAAATTCGGACCAAAGTAGGGCATATACTTCCAAATCAGTCTCAACATCTTGGATTTGGGAATATGGTTTACATTATTAGAGTATTACTCCGTATTATTTTGAAATCTCGATAATTTTTGTTTATTTATGTGTTCTTATTAATCATTTGATAAAATAAATTATTGTCGTATTTCGTTTTGTAGAGTTTTTAACGCATTTTTTACTCCGTAATATGTTATTTTTTTTTGTAAAAAATAAGTTTAAAGACACAAAATTTTAGAGATCGTTCGAGTATTGTAATTCCTTGTTGGGATGCTTTCCCATTTCCCAAATACTCCCTCTGTCTCAGGGTATTTGTCCACTATCATTTTTGCACACCGTCCAATACATTTCTTTAATCCATTTTATCTTGTAATTTGTATATTAAAAAATTATAAATAATTAAATAATTATAAATGGGTAAAAAATTTAAAAATAAATAAATAAATAAAAATTAAATAAATATAGGTGGTGAAGAAGAGGTTGGGGATAAATGGGGTACACGTGGTGTACCCCTGACATTGCTCATGAATATTACATTAGAATTGAACAAAAAAACAAGAAATTTTAAAGTAAAATTCGAACATGTTTCACATACAAAAATGGAGTTTTTAATAATTTTCTTCTAAAAGAAGATAGATAGCATGTAGGGCCTCTTTGGGATTGGCGCTAAAGATTAGCGTTTTAGCATTTTGAAAAGACTATCTACGATAGCGTTTAACGTTGGCGTTTTTAAAGTAATCTGTACCGTTAAAATTTTATCCAAAATCCTAACGTTATTTCCAAACAGGCTGATAATGTCAAAATATAATGTCAATAGGACAAAAGTTGTATAGTTGTACTTCCTCCGGCCGTAAAAACTTTTCCTGCTTTGAGTTTTTTTGGTCAAACAGTAACACATGGGTTAAGTAAATCATTTGTTTTTTCAAAATAAGAAAAAGTAAATCACTCCTCTTGGATAAGTAAGTCTCTATGTCTCACAAAACTTTTTCTACTTTAAAAAAAGATTAGATCAATTTAAAGATGACAAATATTCGATATTAATTTTTAGTTTTGTTCTTATAAAAGTAACATGATATGATGTGATAAACCAGTTAATAATAAAAAATATGTTATACGGAGTAATAGATAAATCAATAATTAGTAGAGATAAATTTTTTTTTGAAATTAAGCATATTTTTTTTGAAAGGAGATGTTAGGTGTACACCAAATGTGTACCCCATTTGTCCCCCACCCCCTCCATAACCACTCATTTCAATTTGATTTTTATTTACTTATTTTTTTAAAATTTTTTGCCTATTTGAATGGTTATGGAGAGGAAAGGGAACAAATGAGATACACCTTTGGTGTACCCTTACCATTTTGCTGATGAAAACAAAGCGAGAATGGAAAGATTTGTTAAAAAGGGGAGAGTGTTGCGTAGTAGGGAGCTGGATAGAACTCATTGAAGTTATCTTTTGAGATAAGGTTTCTTTTGAGACACCTCTAGTAATTGCTCCCTCATGTATTGATTTATTCTACAGAGTCCTAAGTCCTAACTTTTATTTTAAATTTTTAATACCCCTCCGTTTTTGTACTGTGCTCCCTTAAAATTTTGGTGATGAGAACAACAGGTAAAGTATTGAGGAAATTAATCACTTGCATATAAATTTATAAAGTCGAGACTTAATATTTTAACTCAAAAGTTTAAGTTTATATTTGGAATTTCACCTTTCTGTATATATATGTTAGTAATATTCTTCTTTATTTTTCGATGCGGAAACTCCAACATGTTTGTTATTTACAAAGCCAGTTCGATCTTTTTACTTGTTTTTGCTATTTATTCAATAAAATATCATAGTTACGTCATATCTCGTTTCTAATTTTTTTATGTAGTTTTTGAATGTCTTTCGTGATTTTTATTTTATTTTTTTGAAACAGATTTTTATTTTTTAATTTCACCTCAATCTTCAAATTAATTAAATCAAAATAACTTCAGTCATACTTCATGAATCAAAACATGTACTATAAATGGTAAATTCTTCCATTGACCTAAGATCCACGCTCATTTTATGAATTTTAGTGTATTTATAACCTGAAAGAAGTGTGTTTTTTTAACTAGACAACATCCACATGAAAATACATAAAAAGTAATAAAATCTTAGGACCATGCATGTAACTGATATAAGTATTTCATAATAATCACACATTTTGTGAGGAGCTTACGGGAGTGCAGGGGCAGGGGTAGGATGGGGGATTTAAGAGATGAGTTAGGGGTGGTAGGAATCATCAATTTTATGAATGGAGCATTGAAAGTGTTCCAAAATGATCGTGGCACCGGAGTGTAACTATAACCCCACCGTATTTAAATTTAAATACTCCGTATATTATTTCTATAATTTGATCAAGATAATCAAAGTGTACATATTGTTTCTGTAGTGCGGGTATAAATTTCATGAGAGTCCTCTTTTTTGAATGGTATGGTATATCCCATTTCTTCTTAGAGACACACAAAAATGATAATTCCCTTTGTTCTCTCATCTTCCTTTCTCGCTTTGATTATAACTTTCCTAATAAGGAAATTATTTTTGGTGAAGACTAACCTTCTTCCTCCGGCTCCCAGGAAGCTCCCTATTATCGGCCACCTTCACCATCTAATCCTTGGGAAGTCGCCGCCGCATCACGCCCTCCATCGCCTTTCCGAGCAATTCCGCGGCGGAGGCGGAGGTCTCATGTTCCTCCAGCTCGGCTCAGTGCCGACGCTGGTGGTTTCCAGCGCCGACGCCGCCCGCGAGATCTTCATAGACCACGACATCGTCTTCTCCGGCCGTCCTCCGCTCTACGCCGGAAGAAAAATCAGCTACAATTGCGCCGACGTGACGTTCTCCAGTTACGGCGAGTACTGGCGGGAGGTCCGGAAGGTTCTAGTCCTCGAATTGCTGAGCGCGAAGAGGGCGCTAGGGTTTGCGGCGGTCAGAGAAGCGGAGGTCGGCCGCATGATCGATCGGATCGCGCTTTCCTGTTCCCCGTCGACATCTATCGATTTGAGCAAGGCGGCGATGTCACTGGCAAACGATGTCGTCTGTCGGGCGGCGTTTGGGAAGAGACGCGACGGCGGAGAGATGAAATTTCAGGAAATTTTACAGGAGACGCAGAATTTGCTGGGGGAGCCTAATTTGGCGGATTTCATCCCGAAATTGGGCGGGTGGATGAACAAGGTTAACGGATTTGATGCAAGGCTGGAGAAGAATTACAGCGATCTGGACAGGTTCTTGGACAAAGTGATGGAGGAGCACCTTGATGAGCTCGATACAAGGCCTGATGATGATGATGATGATATTGTTCACTCACTGCTTCGGATTCAGAGGAGTCAAAATGGAAGTTCCATTCCTCTCACCACCGAAAACATCAAGGCTGTTCTTATGGTATTATGTTTTCTCATTTCCTTCATCATCATCATGATTTCATGGTAGATTGGATTATGCTATGTGTACCCCAACATTTATACCCAATTTGTACCCCGCAGCTTTGCACCAACATTTAATGTTGGTGTAAAACTAATTTTTGTTAATGCACCAACACTTTGTGTCCGTGTAAATTTTTGTTAACGCACCTACACTTGTGTCAGTGTAAACCATCAAAATGTTTGTGCATAACTGTGGTGTACAAATGAGGTACAATTTTTGGTGTAAATGTAGCATGGTCCTGCTAGAATATAAACCTTGATGGTCAAAATGATTAAGACTTTGCAATGCCACACCATGGGATAGTGCATCGTCATTTTTAGACATTATATACTACGTATTCACATTTTTGAAATGATAAGTCCTATATAAAAACATTGAAAGTACTCTCTATACCAAAATAAGGCTCTCAATTTTAATTTAGCACAAAGTTTAAGAAAAATAAAAATGTATGATTGAAAGTGATGCAAGAAAAAAAGAGACTGTGAGTCTCTCAAAGTTTTCCGGAATTGGATAGAGGAGACTTTTTTTGGCACGTTCCGAAAAGGAAATAAGGAGTCTGTTTTAGGACGGAGAAACTTTTATTTTGGTAGATTAAGGGCTTGCACTCTTTTGGTTCTGATCTAGTTGAAATAAATTTTGATCTAGTCTAATCTGATCTGATTGTAGTTATATTTAAAACTGTTTCTGTTTTGGTTCGATTAAGAACAAGCTCAAAGTATGTTTTTGCACCCCCTGTTCCTCGAAAACATTTCTTATTTTGAATTTTAAAGGATTTAAGAAAAGTGTATTTTAGTGTTGACTTTCTAAAATGCATTTGGATGTGATAGATAAAAGTAAATGTTATGGGTAGATTAGCAGTCAAAAAGTGTAATGTGATAGGTATGTTTAGAATTAATATGGGTAAGAGTGACTTTTAAGACTTAGTAGGTCTCATATTATGACACTCGATCCATTTGAACACCCTGATGCGCCATTTGATTATGAAGCATTTCTTACTGGCTAATTTTCACAAATTCTCCTTCGGGATTGAACGGAATAGCGTAAGACTTCTAATGGACCAGTGTCATAATATGGTACTAATTTTGAATGTCAAAAAGATCAGCCTCATTAGTATTAATTAATTATAAGAAGTATTATGGAAATTTGCATATCGTTGGAGTATTATTATTGGATTGCAGGATGTATTTGTAGCGGGTAGCGACACGTCTGCCTCAACGATAGTGTGGACGATGACAGAGCTCATGAAAAACCCAAACACCATGAGAAAAGCTCAGTCAGAAGTGAGGCAACTCCTCAAGGGAAAACAGAGAGTCAGCGAGAGTGATCTTCCCAATCTGGACTACTTGAAAATGGTGCTCAAAGAGTCCTTCAGACTCCACCCGCCGGCGCCGTTGCTCGTGCCCCGGGAAACCACCGGCAATTGCACGGTCGGCGGGTACGATATCCCGGCGAAGACGCGCGTCTTCATCAATGCCATGTCCATCGGGCGGGATCCGCGGACGTGGGAGAATCCCTCCGAGTTTCGGCCGGAGAGGTTCGAGGACGGCGGCGTTGACTTCAAAGGCACGCATTTCGAGCTGATACCGTTCGGAGTGGGACGGAGGGGCTGTCCCGGCATAAACTTCGCGGTGCCGCTGGTGGAGCTGGCGCTCGCGAATCTTCTGTACCCGTTTGATTGGCGGCTGCCGGCCGGAGTTGGGGATGTTGATATGGAGGAGACCTTTGGGATCACGGTGCATAAGAAAACTCCCCTTTGCTTGCTAGCTTTCCTTTCCCCTTCGCACACATAAAACTAATGCTCATATCTTTAGTGTTCTTTGTTCAAATTGTATGTAAATTGAGCTAAGGTTCTTTTGGCACTTTTGACACCAAGGGTAAGTGTATAATATGACACCGATCTATTTGGTGAACCACGTTAAATCTGTATGTCTTTACGTTTTCTGTTTACTTTGATTACTCGATTACTTTATTCCGTAATAACACCCATGAATGGTGCCAAAAGAACCTACTCATGTAAATCATAGTGTTTTTATCGTGTCGATCAAAATAATGTTCCTAATCTTGTGTGTATTTTAGTTGACCGGAAAACGGAAATCGACCCCGACGACGCCAACTCCGTCCCCGCCGCCGACAAGCTCCGCGGCGAGGTCGAGTTCAAGCACGTCGACTTCTCGTACCCTTCCCGTCCCGACGTCTTGATCTTCAAGGACTTGAGCCTCCGCGCCCGCCCCGGCAAGACCCTCGCCCTCGTGGGCCCCAGCGGGTGCGGGAAGAGCTCCGTGATCGCGCTCACGGAGCGGTTCTACGACCCGACGTCCGGGCACGTCCTGGTCGACGGCAAAGACATCAGAAAGTACAACCTAAAGTCTTTGCGGCGCCGCATTTCCCTCGTCCCGCAAGAGCCGTGCCTCTTCGCCGCGACCATTTACGAAAACATAGCCTACGGGTGCGATTCCGCCACCGAGTCCGAGGTCGTCGAGGCCGCCACGTCAGCAAACGCCCACGGATTCATATCGGCCCTGACGGACGGGTACCAGACGTTCGTCGGGGAGAGAGGGGCCCAGCTGTCCGGAGGGCAGAAGCAGAGGATCGCCATAGCGCGGGCCCTCCTGAGGAGGGGGGAGGTGGTGCTGCTGGACGAGGCGACGAGCGCGCTCGACGCGGAGTCGGAGAGGTGCGTGCAGGAGTGGGACGGAGGGGCTGTCCCGGCATAAACTTTGCGGTTCCGCTGGTGGAGCTGGCGCTTGCGAATCTTCTGTACCGGTTTGACTGGCGGCTGCCGGCCGTAGTTGGGGATGTTGATATGGAGGAGACCTTTGGGATCACGGTGCATAAGAAAACCCCCCTCTGCTTGCTAGCTTCCCTTGCCCCTTTGCACACATATAACTAATTATCATTCTCTGTTGAATTGTATGTAAATTATACTAAGGTGGTCACAGTAGTATAACACTGAACCGGGATGGGGATGGGTTTTGGGGGTTATGGTGAAAAAGCACTTCCGAGTTCAGATGGACGACTATAGGGCTCTCAAATGGTTCTTGTGTCATGTGTCATATTATGACACGGACACCCATGAAATGTGTCAAAAGAACCTACTTAAATCATAGTGTTTTTATCGTGTTTGATTTTTAGTAAAGATAAAAATGAGGTTTGTTTTAAATTAAGGAAGGTGTATTCAATATGGATTCTAGAGTATTTTTTTAAATTTCAAAAGTCCATGACTATTCAATCTCGATTTCGTAATTGGGACTTGGGGAGTTGGATAGAAGTCATAGAACTCATTGAGGTTATCTTATGGGGAGATGCTAGGGGTACACCCTTGGTGTACCCCATTTGTCCCCCACTCTCTCCATAACCACTGATTTGTATTTGATTTTTATTTACTTATGAGATTGTACTATTTGCTTCCTCAAGTATTGTTTATTCGAGAGAATTTTATTTAGTACTCCGTACTTCCTTGGTTTGAAAATTGTGTTTGCTAGTCCTTATTTACAATGTTACTATATTTTATCTACTCTTTCTATTTATTTTGCCATTTATTTGATAAACAGAAATATTCAAGTCATCTTTCATTTTGAAGAAATTTAGATGTTGTTTTTATGTAAGGACTATATAATTTTTATTTTTTAATTATATCCCAATCTTCAAATAAATTAAATTAAAATTAACTTCAGATAAACCTTATAAACAAAATCATGTCCTATAAATTGGAAAAAGGGAATAATATGTACTCCATTCGTCCTCGAACATTTGTCCATTTTTTATTTTTGTCGATCAAAATTTGTAACCTTTGACCTCAAATTAAATAAAAATGATATTAGATATTGATACAAAAATAGATTTATTATATTTATTACATCAAATATTTTCAAAATATCATTTTATCTAATTAATATATATATGTTATTTAATTATAGGTCAAAGATTAAAAATATTTGTTCGAAAAAAGTCAAAGCTAGACAAATACTCGGGAACGGATCGATTAATATTGTTTTATATAAATAAATGTTATACGAAGTAATATTATTCTCCCTCCGTCCTTATTTTGGTTATAAAATAGGAATTACAATGTAAAATCCCACGAGTGTAGAAATCATTTCATTCACAAATTGGTACATTAATAAGAAATAAAAATTATATATTAAAAAATTATGTCAAAAACTCTACAGAACAAGAGGTGAAAACAATATTTTATTTTATTAAATAATCAATGAAAATACGCAAATAAACAAAAGTTATTGAGAAAAGAAAAAAAATAAAATTGTAATCATAATAGGATGGATGGAGTATATTAAAATTATAATGTGTAATTTAAAATAAACTTATATATTTAAATTGATTATTTCTATAAGCCGAACTCAAATGATCTTTTGACTCTCTCAAATGGAAAATGCTAGGGGTACACCAAAAGTGTACCCCAAACATCTCCCACCCCTCCATCACCACACAAAAAAGGCAAGAAAATTTCAAAAAAAAAATAAAAAATAAAAAAAAAATAAAATGAATAGTATAGAGGCAAGTGGTGTACATTTGGCATATCCCCTCTCAAATGGGCAAATCTAGGAGGGGAAGAGGGTTGGGTGGGGTACTGATAGCATGGGGATAAGAGGATGTAAATCTTGGGTGGCCGGAGAGTGTGCAAAGTGCCAATCGCACAAGGCCCTTAAAATTTAAAGGTCCCATATTTTTAAATCTGATGAAAATTTTAAAGAAAAAATATTTTAAAAAAATAAAATTGGCCCAAATGTAAATTTTGGAACGAGCCAATTTTATCTGACATTTCTATTACCAAAATAAAATATCAAGTTTTTCAATTCGTTTTATTTACATTTTGGAATAGAAATAAAAAATAAAATTTACATATTAAAAAACTACATGAAAAGTTTTTCGAAATAAAAGGTGTCAAGAATATTTTATTTTATCAAATAATCAATGAAAACATAGAAATAAACATATATTTTCGCGACTATTCTAAAAGCAAATGTGAGATATATTTAGGGATGGAGTCCTCTTTCCTTTTTTTGAATGTAAGAGCACTTGAAATACCCGTGAAGCCCCGGGGCTTCAAACCGGGTCTTCAAAATTTCTCTCTCTGCCACGTCAGCTTTAGCTTAGCTCACAGATTCAGTGGAAATAGGTTTGAAGCCCGGAGGGGTTCAAACATGATATTCAAACCTTCATTTTTTACATTTTTAAATATGCATCTTCTAAAACTAAATTAATAAAATTTAATTACTTTATTATTTAATTATATTGAAACAAGAATAATAATAAAAAAATTACATTCATTATATTAAAAGAAATTGAAGCGAAAATAATTTAAAAAAATTACATTCATTAAATTAAAAAAAAGAAAGCGACAATAATAAAAATATACACTAATAAAAAAACTAAGGTAAATTATATTTGGCCGTAATCTCTTTTTGTTTTCCATTAATAAAAAAAACTAAGGTAAAAAAATACATTACTAAAAAAAGCAAGGTAAAAGAATTACATTTTCTTTTTTTTTTGTTTCCAACGGCAAAATTAGCCGGAGGGGGAGGCTGCGTCAAACGTATGACGCTGATGCAATGACGCCCCGGTGAGGGCAGTGGTAATACCCCTCACGCCCACCGGCGTGGTAGGGGGTTTTAACGCCGGAGGGCGTTAAACACCGCCCCCCCTCGGCGTGATACCGGCGTGAGTTAATCGGCGCCACTCGTTTGACGCAATCTCCCTCCCCCCTAACGGCTAATTTAGCCGTTGTAAACCAAAAAAAGAAAATTTAATTTTTTTTTATAAATTTCAAACCCCCCTCCCATTCTCTCACACCTTCAATTTTCTTCAATCTTCTTCACACAATCTTCAATTTCAAACTCTCCCCCTCTCTTTTGAACATGAATTCTTCCTGGTCCGGCTTCTTTCCCGACAATCTCGCGCCAAGCAATGCCGCGATGTGGTACGTCGAGCGAGATTCGGTTTCGAAGGCTCAACCGTAACCGACTGGCTCGAAAAAAAGTACACGCCGGAAAAGCCACAAAGCAAAAGGCACGATGACCGAGGCGGCACGGTCAATCCAAAAGTGGACGCCGGAGGAGAGTGCTTATTGACGTCGGCTTGGGTTGACGTCTCCGATCATCCTATCATTGGTAAAAATTATATGTTTTCTAATATATTTATGTTTTTGTTTATATAAAATTATATTTAATTGTGTTATAAAAAAATTTTCGTTTTATACTTTTTTAAAGGTTCGGAGCAAACGAAGGATGCGATGTGGGATCGTATCGAGGAGAAGTTCTTCACGGCGACGAACAAGGACGGCTTCTACCGTACCCGGGACCAACTCACTTCCAAATGGGGCCACATCAACCGTAAAGTCCGAAAGTTTATTGGAGTTTACGAGGAATGCGCCCGATCCCGGAGGAGCGGGACGAACGACGCCGATGTTCTCCGGCTTGCCACGACCCGGTATCAAGATGACTGGCACCAAGGCAAGGTGCCCATCGATCTTTGGAGGATTTTGAGCCGTTCCCCGAAGTGGCAACAACTCAACAATTCCGACGGAGGATCGTCAAAGAAAAGATCCTCCGTCGACGCCGAGGTTGAGGTCGACGAGACTATCAATTCGTCCGATCAAATCCCTCCCTTCAACGTTGCGGATTCCGATGATGAGGACCCCATTCCACGGCCGATCGGAATAAAGAAGGCAAAATCCATTGCCTTGGGTTCGGGAGGGTCCGGCTCTGCTTCCGTTTCTTCTCGCCACGAAATCGGTCGGGCAATGGTTGAACAACTTCAAGTGTTCAATCTTCGAGAAGAAGAGAGGTTGAAGCTAAAAGAGAAGGAGTTGAAGCGAAAGGAGCAAGACGGCGAGATTAAAATCATGAGAACCGACCTTTCTACGTTGTCGGGTTTCAAACGGATGATCTACGAGCAAAGACAAAGAGAGATCAAGGCGAAATATAATTTACCTTAGTTTTTTTATTAATGTATCTTTTTTATTATTGTCGTTTATTTTTATTTCTCGAATGTAATTTTTAAAATTTTAAATTATTGTCGTTTCAATTTCTTTAAATTTAATGAATGTATTTTTTAGTATTTGTGTTTCAATATAATAAAATACTACCTCCGTCTCACTCTCTTTGTCCACTTTTGACTTTTGGAACTGTTCATCTAAGCACTTTGACTCATCAAATTCTTTTAATGTGTAAGCCTAAATATAGTCATGTGTGATCTTGTTTGATTTGTCTTAACATATAAATTATTAATATATAATTTCTATAATTTTTTAATATACAAATTACAAGATAAAATGGATTAAAGAAGTGCATTGGATGGTGTGTTAAAAGGTAAGTGGACAAAAAGAGTGGGACGGAGGGAGTAATAAATTAATTTAAATTTATTAATTTAAATTTAGAAGATGTATATTTAAAAATGTAAAAAAAGAAGATTTGAAGCCCCGGGGCTTCAAACCCATTTCCAATGAGTTTTTGGTGTAAGTTAAAACTGACGTAGCAGTGAGAGAAAGTTTGAAGTCCCAGTTTGAAGCCTCGGGACTTAAAACGTATTTTCAGTGCTCTGAAGCCTGGGGCAGTGTTTAACCCTAGGCGTCAAAAGGGCTTAACGCAGCTCGGGTTGAGATGTATTACCACTGCTCTAATGGTATATCGTCGAATTGGTTCTTGGAAAGGAGAAACACACAAAAATGATTGTTCCCCTTATTCTCGCATCTTCGTTACTCGCTTTGATTATAACTTTCTTCCTAATAAGGAAATTATTTTTAGCAAATAAGAAGACTCAACTTCTTCCTCCGGCTCCCAGGAAGCTCCCTATTATCGGCCACCTTCACCATCTAATCCTTGGGAAGTCGCCGCCGCATCTCGCCCTCCACCGCCTTTCCGAGCAATTCCGCGGCGCAGGCGGAGGTCTCATGTTCCTCCAACTCGGCTCAGTACCGACACTGGTGGTTTCCAGCGCCGACGCCGCCCGCGAGATCTTCAGAGACCACGACATCGTCTTCTCCGGCCGTCCTTCGCTCTACGCCGGCAGAAAAATCAGCTACAATTGCGCCGACGTGATGTTCTCTGCTTACGGCGAGTACTGGCGGGAAGTCCGGAAGGTTCTAGTCCACGAATTGCTGAGCGCGAAAAGGGCGCAAGGGTTTGCGGCGGTCAGAGAAGCGGAGGTCGGCCGCATGATCGATCGAATCGCGCTTTCCTGTTCCCCGTCGACATCCATCGATTTGAGCGAGGCGGCCATGTCGCTGGCGAATGATGTCGTCTGTCGGGCGGCGTTTGGGAAGAGACGCGACGGCGGAGAGATGAAATTTCATGAATTTTTACAGGAGACGCAGAATTTGCTGGGGGAGCCCAATTTGGCGGATTTCTTCCCGAAATTGGGGGGGTGGATGAACAAGGTTAGCGGATTTGATGCAAGGCTGGAGAAGAATTGCAGGGATCTGGACAGGTTCTTGAAGAAAGTGATGGAGGAGCACCTTGATGAGCTCGATACAAGGCCTGATATTGTTCACTCGCTACTTCGGATTCAGAGGAGTCAAAATGGAAGTTCCATTCCTCTCACCACCGAAAACGTCAAGGCTGTTCTTATGGTATTATGTTTTTTCATTTCCTTCATCATCATCATCATGAATTCATGCTAGAATATAAACTTTGATGATCAAAATGTTAGGAGTTCCAACCGTACCATCACCCAATTTTAAAAGAAAATCAAAATGTTACAAGTTTGAATAGTATTGTCACCCATTTTTTTTAAAACCCCATTTTTTTAAAATTGAAGTTTCATGTATTATGCTCGATGTCTGCACTTGGGGGCATGTTAAAATATGAAAAAACTTTCATCGTTTTATTGTCTTAAAACGTTGAACCCTTGGTCAATTATCATCACTATCACGGAGCATTAAATAATCAACCTAAATAAGATCAAACATTAAAGTTCTTTCAAAATAGGATCTTATATGTTTTTATTCCCTACAAGAGAGCATTAGCACAATGCAATACCAAAATATGGCATTGTCCATTAGCATTTCACGTCAGTTTAAGCATTATATAATTACATTTTTGAAATGATAAGTCCTAGATATAAAAACATTGAAAGTATTATATTTGGTAGATTAAGTGTGTTTTAGTAATACTTTAGGTAGGTCTCCTTTACTACTATTATTATCAGCTTGGTATTTTTTACACTGGAGTCTAGCTAGAGTGTCATTTTATGACACTCGGCCCAGTTACTTTCAATGTGAGAGCTCATAAGAATCAGCCTCGTTAGTATTGATTTATTATGCAGTATTATAGAAAGTTGCATGTCGTTGGAGTATTATTTTCGGATTGCAGAACGTATTTATAGCGGGTAGCGACACTTCTGCTTCAACAATAGTGTGGACGATGACAGAGCTCGTGAAAAACCCAAACACCATGAGAAAAGCTCAGTCAGAAGTGAGGCAACTCCTCAAGGGAAAACAGAGAGTCAGCGAGATTGATCTTCCCAATCTGGACTACTTGAAAATGGTGCTCAAAGAGTCCTTCAGACTCCACCCGCCGGCGCCGTTGCTCGTGCCCCGGGAAACCACCGGCAATTGCACGGTCTGCGGGTACGATATCCCGGAGAAGACGCGCGTCTTCATCAATGCCATGTCCATCGGGCGGGACCCGTGGACGTGGGAGAACCCCTCCGAGTTTCGGCCGGAGAGGTTCGAGGACGGCGGCGTTGACTTCAAAGGCACGCATTTCGAGCTGATACCGTTCGGAGTGGGACGGAGGGGCTGTCCCGGCATAAACTTTGCGGTGCCGCTGGTGGAGCTGGCGCTTGCGAATCTTCTGTACCGGTTTGATTGGCGGCTGCCGGCCGGAGTTGAGGATGTTGATATGGAGGAGACTTTTGGTATCTCGGTGCATAAGAAAACTCCCCTTTGCTTGCTAGCTTCCCTTGCCCCTTTGCACACATATAACTAATGCTCATATCTTTATTGTTCTTTGTTGAAATTTATGTAAATTATGCTAAGGTTCTTTTGGCACTTTGACGCCAATGGTAAGTGTATAATAATATGACACCGTTCTATTTGTGGACCTTACGATGGTCACGGTAGCATAACGCCGAAACAAGATGGGAGAGGGGTTTAGCGGGTTAGGGAGAAAAACCACTTCTGAGCACTATAGGTCTATAAGGCTCTCAAGTGGTTCGTGTGTCATATTATGACACCCATGAACGGTGTTAAAAGAACCTGCTCATGTAAATCATAGTGTTTTTATTGTGTCGGTTCTAAATAATGTTTCTAATCTTGCGTGTATTTTTTCTAAAATTTGAAATCAAATATCAAGGGTTTCATTGAACGTCTTATGGATTCATATGTAGAACAAGAGATGTATTTTCAACCCATCCATTATGACTCAACTCAATGTTTATTCAATCCAGCCAAATTGACCAAAGATTAGTCTCTTAATTAAGTTAAGTACATGAAAGATGGTAGTTTTGGATATAAGGCCATTTCTATCACACAAACAAATAAAAAATAGTTTTCAAAAAACAATACAAAACAAAACAAAACAAAACAAATAAACAATAGATTCTACAGTTCTTTATATACAATACACCCTAACTCATAAATTCATCTACAAGTGTTGTCCAGAAAGTGTGTGTATATCTATAATTCTATATATTTTTGGCTGCATCAAGGTGTGAAAATCAGCCAATTGAGGAAGAAAGAGCAAGTGAAATTTCATCCAAAAGATCATCAAAAACCATGTCCTCAACCTCAAGTGCCACAAACTCACTCTCTAGCTGCAGATTCATCCAACCATAGCTCTTCTCAAGATCTCGGCCGACTACGCACTCAAGTGTCTGCTTCATTTCTGGCTCTAAGCTCAGCCGTGAACTAACACTGGAGCAAATTTCTTGGATGATATGTTTTCCCGTTGGCAGAGATCGAATCTTGCAACAAGAAGACAAGGCTGCAGGGTAGTATGGGAATGATCTGTCATAGATCTCAACACACACCTCATTCGCCAAATCAAACAGCATCTTGTGGTGCTGGTTGCAGAGGTCTTCGTCTCTGTCTTCTTCGCCATGCCAGCGAGCTTCGGCTTCTTCCATGGCTGAGGGGCTTAGCGGTTGGTCTCTTGAGTGCCATTTTCCATGGAAGAAGTTCTGGGTGAAGCCCGAGCACTCCAGAATGGCCATCACATAACTAAGGTCTGGATCATCTGTCATCTTAGCTTCTCTGCAGATTCCATAGTCTTCCTCTGTTGATAATTGTTCTTGGAAACAAGATTCAAGTGCCGAAGAATCCAGATTCGAAAGTATAATGTCATCCGAGGCTGCTTCCATGTCATGATCAGTTTCATCAACTGTATTTGCATTCAAGAAACCATCACATTTCGCTGCTTGATTTCCATCAATAGATACATCTTTTTCCTCTGCTTTCCCGGTGGGATGAAACGAAAACAGAGCACTATCAAGTGTTTCAATCTGGAGGGGAAAAATTGACTCGACGTTCGATAGAGAACGCGTTCTTGTGAAAGGAACCGCCTTTAAGCTCTTGGAAGGGTTCAATTTCAGTTCCTTCCCAGAACTATGTTCATATAGCCTTGAATATCTTTCGAGCGATTCGTTTAACGAAGAGCTTCTTCTGTGGGCAGCTAACTTCCTCCAACTCCTATCCTTCTTGTCCTCAATTTCTGCATTTTTATGACATTTCTCCTCCTCATCATCATCAATGGCCAAGAGATCCGAACTTCTTCGTTTCTGGTGATGCCAAATTTCGTTGTATTTGTCTCTTAGCTGTAGGGGTTTAAACATCCCTCTCTTGCTATCGCAGCTAGGAAAAGATCCAGACTTTACTAATCTTGATTTTCCATTGGAATTTAAATGGTCCTGCATGATCTTTATCAAAAGCAACTCATGTTCAAAGTCGTCATCTTTGATCAGGTTCTGGTTTTCTTCTTCTTCGTCGTTATCATCCATGTTTGAGTTTCCAGGAAGAACTTCAGCAGGTTCTTCTTCTTCATCTGACTTTGTCTGGGATTTGGGGAGCTGTTTGTAATTGTTTCGATTTCCATTATCGTTATTGTACTCCACAATGAATGCTTTGATGCGCGCCCGCAAAGATGTTTTGTTGCTCAGAAAAGGGATTTCTTGGGAGTGCCTTTCTTCTTCTTCTTCCTCCTCCATGGCCTGTGCTTCATCACCCTGGAGTAACTTCATTTTGTCTGCAACATACCAGATTCAAGTTTCAACATTCAAGGAGATTACTAATTATTTGTGCAAGCTTTGATTACGCACCCCAAAAAAAACTTCTGGAAAAACTGAGATTTTTTCTAAAACAGGGGGGAAAATAAAAAAATAAATTGTGGGCTAGCTTACTGTGATCATCATGGAGCCATCTCCTTCTTCTTCCTCTTCTCTTTCTTGTATTACTATTATTATCATTATCAAGCAGAAATCTGTGCAGCATCTTCTTCCTGGAGTGATACTGCCATTGATGAAAGTCCAAAGACTTTATAAATCTCCTCCATAACTTATTACTATACCTCCGATGATCTTCATCTTCTTCTTCATCAACGGCGCTGCCAGATTTCTTTCCCATCGATCTGAACTTCTGATCTCTCTTTCCTATATACCGATATTATAGAAATTTTATGCTCCCAAATAAAGACCAAAACAGGACCAAATACGAAAAGCTAGCTAGGTAGGAAATAGATGCCCAAAATTAAAATGGTGTTTTAATAAAGTTGTGAACTTTTATAGCTTGTAATACTGTTATCATTCATAACATTTCTATTAATGAGAACGGTTATGAAGGCGGGGTTTTCGTCGTGTGTGCCTCCTTCTCTTAATTAGCGTGTGGAAAGGATGATGTGGAAATTGGAACTAATGATCTTGATTCCGTCCTAAATTAACTTGTCTGTTTATAGAGTTAACTTTAGTCACTTTATTTTTATATTTTCGTCACTCATTGATGAATATAATCATGTCAAATTTTGAATCTTAGAATTTTTGTTTTATTTTTTTAATATGCAATTTTTTTTGATTCCGCTTCAATTTTCAAAAAAAAAAATTGTATTGAAAAATCAAAAAAATTAATTTGGGACGAGGAGAATAATAATTAGTGAATAGGTCCACTTCCACAAAAGTAGTAATATGGTCGTCTATGTTAGGTAGCAGAAGACCAGTCAATCTCCAATTGCTACATCAAACTACTCTATACGTGCACCAGTGTTTCTCTTTTGGATTACACTTTTCTATTTAGGAGCCAAATAGTTTATTTTTAAAATCAATTTATTTAAAATTATTATAAGAATAATTAATAAAATTTACATTTTAAAAGATTAAGTTGAAAGTTCTATAAAAAAAAGTGATAATAATATTTTATTTTATTTAATAATCAATAAAAATATAGAAACAAATAAAATGTTCGGAAATTAACTCCGAAACAATCAATAAAATATTTTATTTACCGCCGGATGGTAGCATGGTACCGTAAGGCAATAGCAAGCTACCGTCAGAAGCTACCACCACAAGCTACCACCACATGCCATTTTAGTCTGTCCAAAATTTTTATGTTCGGAAATTAACTCCGGACGGCTCTGGCCGGCTGAGCCTATCCACTTTACGGGAAGTGCACAATCGCGATAAGGAAGCTCGCGTACGACACCTCTGCTGACATATACGACGAGTATCTCCACACCGGAAACTCTACTGGTTGAGAATGCTTGTGACATTTTTGCCGAGATGTCGTTGAAGCTTTCAAGGATGCGTACTTGCGAAAGCCGGCAGTCCAAAATGTTCAAATGTTAGTCAATATGCACGGCAAGTTCACAGGTTTCCACGAATTATTGGTAGCGTGGACTGTATGTATTGGGAGTGGAAAAATTATCCTCTGGTGTGGAGGGGTGCATTCACAAGCGGTTACAAAGGCTCATACTCGATGATCGTGCTTGAGGCTGTTGCTGGCCATCGTCTGGGATTTGGCATGCGTACTTCGGAGTCGCCATATCGAACAACGATCTAAATGCGTTGAATGGGTCCCCTTTACCCAACGATGTTTACGGCTTTGCGCTGGACGTGCACCGGTCGTGCAATTCACCGCCAATGGTTGCCAATATAACTTGGGATATTATTTGGCGAATTGAATATATCCACATTGGCCGGTGTTTGTGAAAACAATCACGTGTCCGAAAAATCCAAAGGGGCATTGTTTGCGCGGAAACAAGAGTCCGCACGAAAAGATGTGGAACATGCCTTCGGAGTCCTTCAATCGCGGTGGGCGATGTTGAAAGGCCCCGCAAGCCCGTTGTGCCGCTCGTTCATCTCAGACATTATGTTTGCATGCATTATGCTAGCATAACATGAAAGTTGAAGACAAGGGAGCCAACATCACTCGTTTTATAGATGAGGGGGTCACATCCACCTCAACGGCCACCGTTTGCCAAGGTCCAACGACTCGAGGGTCACCTCCCAGTCTTAGCATTTTTATTTTAATTACATGTACTTTGTTGTTTTAAAAAAATTGTAATTAAAAATGATGAATAATGTTAAAAGAATGAAGATACAAATTTTCAGAATGATTGTAAATGCTCTTCCATCTACCACTCTCGACCTCTCGTATAAATAGAGGTGGGTCATAATAAGACATGATAAAAAAAAAAAAGCCAACTATCAGTCACTATGGACAACTCACGCCCAACTCTCAAACGTACTTTCCCATTTCAATCCCAAACTTACGCTTTCAGCCTTCACTCGACAATCTCTCTTTCCCTTAAAAGCTCCATTTTTAGGACTATCATCAAAGGTAAAGTTTAAGAATGGCACCTGCAACTTTATCCTTTTCCCATTTTGCCCCTCTCACCGCCCTCTATTTCCTCCTCCTGTTCTTCTCTTGCCCCCTCCCCATTCTTGCCGTCAACGTCACCGACCTCATCTCCCACCACTCTTCTCTCACCGGCTTCGCAGACTCGCTCGCCGCCACATCCGTCGCCGCCGATCTCCTCTCCCGCTCCTCCATCACCGTCCTCGCCGTACCCAATGCCTTCCTCCGGCACGCCGCCGCCAACATCAGCGACGCCGTTCTTCGCTACCATGTCCTTCTCCAGTACATATCCTGGGATGACCTCCCCGCGATTCCGGCGGAGGGGAAACTCGTCACCACTCTGTTCCAGACCACCGGCCGTGCCCCGGGAAACTTAGGGTTCGTCAACATCACCTGGGATCCGGCCGCAAAACTCGCCACCGTCCACTTACAGGGCTCCAACGCCACAATCGTGTCCGAAATCGCCGACGTCCCTTACAACATCTCGATCTTCTCTGTAAATTCTCTCCTCGTGCCGTACGGAATAGATCTGATGGCGTCGGACACCCGGCCGTCTCCGGGAGTCAGCATCACCAAGGCCCTCATCGACGGGCACGACTTCAACGTCGCGGCCTCCATGCTCGCCGCATCCGGCGTCGAACAGGAATTCGAAGACAAGGAGGGCGGCGCGGGCCTCACTCTGTTCATGCCCACAGACGAAGCGTTCTCAGATCTACCCAATTCGTTGGGATTCCAGTCCCTGCCGGCCGATAAAAAGGCGGCGATCCTCCGATTCCACGTCCTCCACTCGTATTACCCTCTGGGGACGCTCGAGAAGGTCGTGAATCCGACCGAACCCACTCTGGAGACGGAGCAGAACTGGGCGGGGAGCTTCACCCTGAACATTTCCAAAATCAACGGATCTCTGACGATCGGCACCGGAAACGTACAAGCTTCTGTAACTCAGACGGTGTACGACCAAAATCCGGTGGCTATTTTCGGTATCTCCCATGTTTTGTTGCCCGTAGAGTTCTTTGGCCGGAACAGGATTGAGGTGAACAGGTCTGGAGGTGGGAGTGTGGATGGGACGCCGGAGATTACTCTCTCGCCGGGAACGGACGGAGCATCCGGCCTTTCATCCGCTCCGCCGCCGGGGTTTCATCAAGACGGTGCCTCCTCGGCGGCTAAGGGCATTGTAAGAACATTTTTGATTGTGTGGTGTGTAGGGTTTTACCTTCTGGTGTGCTGTAATTATTAGTAATTTTTTTATTTATGAAATTATTTTGAGATTCTTCACTTCAAATGAGAATACAAGAAAAAAAATTCAGAAAGATTGTTTTTTTTATTTTATTATCTTGAAGTTTCTTTGCTAGAGCTGTTGTATTTTTTTTTGTGTACAGTTTCAAATATTGGCTAAATCTATTTTCCATTCATTATTGACATTAATAATAAGAGTATTAGTCACCGAAATTCTTAGATCATTGTTGTTTGTTTCTATGCCGCTTATTTCTGGGATCACAGAAACTCAGAAAGATTTTGAAGAAAGAGTAGAAGTTTAGTATTCATTCCTTCTTCTCTCTTACTGCTCCCTCCCAAAGTATTTGTTCATTTTTATTTTTACGCATCATTCAATGCACTTTTTTAATCTATTTTATCTTGTAATTTGTATATTAAAAAATTATAGAAATTATATATTAATAATCTATATGTTAATACAAATTAAACAAGATCACACATGACTATATTTAGACTTACACATTGAGAGAATTTGATGAGTCAAAGTGCTTAGATGAACAGTTCCAAAAGTTAAAAGTGTACGAATACTCCGGAACGGAGGAGTATAACTTTCTTTCCTATTGTATTATTCCCGGAATCAAAATTTATTCATTTTTATTTATTTTAGTTAGTTAATTAATAAAATAATATAATCATGTCATATCTTCTTTATAGAATCTTTGTTATAAAAAATATATAATTTTTTAAAATTTTATATCTACAATTAAATAAATTAAATTGAAATTAAAGACGGTCAAACTTCAAAATCTGAAACTGGAAAAAGTTTTAGAATGGAGTAGACCCGATCACAGGCTTGGGTATCCAGCTCGTCCGCAAAATCTCGCGCGTAAAATAATGGGCTTGACATTCTAGGGTACGGGTCGAGCTTGGTCCTTATAAATAGCGGCCTGAATATTTTAACGCCGGGCTCAGGTTTTATGCTCAAGCCCACAGCCCGACCCGGCTCGAATAAATTAAAATATTTTTTTTTTGAAGAAAATCAAATTTCAATATCATTCCAATAAATGAGAAATACAATCCGGGAGAGATGTATTCCACGTAGAAGATTGAGTTATCGCACTACGAGCAAGTGTATGAGCGATACCATTAGCTTCCCGAGTAAATATGAGAAACCAATGCCGAATTAAACTGAGCTAAAAGAGCCTTACAATCTTTTATTATAGTTCCAATTATATTAAAATTACAATATTTATTACTCCGTATTAGTCAAATTATATTATTAGTCAAATTATATTAAAATTACAATAACAACATTAATAATAATAATAATAACCAACAATGCGATCTCAAGTTATTATAAACACGCATACATACTTGATGAAAAAAGTGCATTATAAGTATATTTAATAAAATAAATAAATCTTTATTACTCCGTGTTGTTTAGTACGTTTCGCACATCGATAATGTTGTTCTAACAAATAATACTTCGTATATAAATGCCGGTCTTATGTTTGTTTATCTAGCTTTATTAGATAGGCACGGTTCGCAACATAATAGGCACATATCACTCTACATCTATCACCCTTCACAACCGTGCTTTTTAAACGGTTCGATGTCGTCTAATGTGAACCTCAACTTCGCTACCATTCTACCTTAAAACAAAATGGTACAATAACACAGAAAATTACTGGCGGGTGACGTGAGTTTGTCGAAATAACTTTTAGGTCCCTCTATTTTCAAAAAGACAACCGAGGTCCTTATATTTTGTTGTAATGACTGGGAGGGGACATTTCATCCAATACATCATCCGTAAGTGTTAATAAATGTATTTTTTTCCTATTTTTCCTATATCGTTTTTTCCTATTTTGCCATTACCTTGTTTTTTCTTTTTTTAAATTTTTTTTATTTAATTTGTTTTAATATAATACAAACAATTTTGACTTTTTATACGATTTTATAGAAGAGATTCTAAAATAACACTTTAAAAAATAGTAACAAAATGAAAGAAAAACAAAGAAATAAAAAAAGGAGCGACCTAAGATTTATTACCTTAAAACATTTAGAAAAGAATAGGAAAAAAACACATTTATTAACGTTTATAGATGAAATATTGGATGAAATATCCCCTTCCAGTCATTACAACAAAATGTAAGGACCTCTGCTCTCTTCTTAAAAATAGAGGGACCTGAGAGTTATTTCAACAAAACTTGCGTCACCCGTGAGTAATTTTTTGTACAATACAATATCATACCAAAATTATACAAAAAAAATTAAACATCCAAAATTAAAATATTAAAAGGAAAACACTAATTTTTGGAGTATAAAAGATAGCACAGTGCAGTCTAATGTGGGCGGGTCGAATGTAGTTACATTCGGTCTGTCCCCTACGTTTAAAACATAAGGTAGTAGTTTTCTTGATGATCCATGATAATTGTCGAAAGTTACATTGACTAACAGATCGGATATTCGGATAAACGGTTGTTTAAACGGGTGCATATTCGGACATGATTTTAAACGGATCGGATATACAATTACAAATTCGTATCCGTTTAGTAATAAAATATTCTTAATCGGATACGGATAATATCCATTTAAAATGGATGCACATATTTTGTCTTTAAACGAACACATATGCGGACGTTAATTGGATTTTCGGTTATCCGTTGACAGCCCTAAATGTAAATTTGATTTTTTTGTCCATTCCCATCTATACAATTGAATACGGTTCAGTATAGTACTCCCTCCGTCCTATAATGATCTTCCCGGTTCGCAAAACGAAGAAAAATCTCAAGTTTTTTCAATCTATTTTATTTAAATATTGGTATAGAAATAAAAAATAAAACATATATATTTAAAAACTACACCAAAAGTTCAACAAAACAAGTGGTGGCAAGAATATTTTATTTTATCATATAGGCTATGAAAAAACACAAATAAATATAAATTCCGGTGAAGTTGGAATAATGCTCTGGGAAGATCGACGGAGGGAGTATCAATGTAACCTGATTTTATTGACTTTTTATAATAAAAAAATAAAAAAATCTTTCGCAGCGAGCAGAAGAAAATTGAATTTTTATCTCTAGATTTTTGAAGGTATATTTCTTGATCCTCACTCGAAACCTTTCATCCTCAATTGTGAATTTTCTGTATATCTTAAACATCTTTATTAGTATTATTATTATTATTATTATTATTATTTCTTTGCCTCTAAATTTTAACATAGGATTTCAATTGGTTTAAAGTTCTTGTTTCTTGAAGTGTTTTTGACGCCTGAGGTTTACAATTTAAGCATTTATAGCCTTTAGAAATGCTATTTCAAAGTGGAGATAAGAAGAGAATCCAAGAGAAAAAACCAGGGATTTAGGGTTTCTAGGCACAATGTTCTAAAATCAAATTTATTTGTTAATCACATTTTGATGAATATTTATTTTAAGAAAAATATGAATTTGTCTAGATATGAAAAACTTCATAAGGAAAATGAGAGACTCGATAAATTAACACAATATCAAAAGGGTATTTTGCTATGGACTACCTACAGTCAACTATGTCAGAGAAGAGTTTCGATGTGTTTACCTTGGTGTCGAATATAAAACTCTTGAGGTGATTTAAATTGAAAATTTGATCAATGACTTTGTCTTCTATGTGTGCAATATGAATGTCACTTTTAGCTTGATGTTTTTATTGTAAACTTTATGGACATTTTCTTTTTGTGTTGGACCTTTGGTTCTCTTCTAGGGAGTACTCTGTATTTGTCTATGAATTATGTGACTATATGCGACTTTGGTTCTTATTTATTTTCCAAGTATAGAGATACTACCTTATGTGTTTTCCTTTGTGGGGTTCCCTTATACACAATCATCGGCAAAATCTGATTTTTTTTCTTCTGTATACATATGCAAATTGGATTTTTTTCTATTGTTTCAAGAGTTATTTCTTTTGTTGAATAGCTCCCATAATTCGTGCATATCTATCTTGCATCATATTTTCAGAATATATTATTAGGTCTCCTTCATGTTAGTTTCTTTGGGGTTTTGAAAGAAGTGTTAAGATCCAATATCCTCGAATGCCTCTTAGACATAGTCCCCCCTAAGTAGTTTAATAAAACCTGCCAATTTTGAGCTGTCCATTGCATCTTTATTGGCAACATATTTGGGCTGTTGATCTTGGACGAATCTGTTTCATATTCTAATCGGTTTAGATTGTCATCAAAAATGGTGTACCGCAATTCTACCCCTAATGTTCATCTCAACAATAAAAATTTCTCAGTTTTTTTACCAGAAAACATGTCAATTACAACTCAGAACCAAAAGAATACTCCACTCCAAATGAATCTCAAAGTTTGGTTTTTAAGCTTTTTGTCTCATGTGTGTGATATTTGAGTCAATTATCTGTGTGTGAATCATACCTCTTTTGAAGATATTTTAGGTCTTCTTGGTTGAACAAGTTCTCATAGAACATCAAAACATCTGTTTATAATCTGTATTTAACCAATTGAAATCTATTAATATTTCATCACATACAAAAGTCATAAAAAGAGGAACCACAAAATCAATCATTTCCTATTGTTTAGAGACATTTACTTCTTTTGTTGAATAGTTTCTATGATTATTCGTATCTTTCTTGCATCATATTTTTAGAATATGTTATGAAGTGACTATATTTAAAAGACAACTCTTGTGCTACACTATCTTTACTCTAAGTTGGTTTCATCTCTTTTTTTATCGTGCGATTTGTTTTATGTGGTACTCAAGTTCGGGTCCACCACAAGCTGGTCCTCTTTCTCTATTTTCAAGCCCCTACTTTTGCGGGATTATACTGGGTTGTTGTTTGTGCTATAATGTCAACACTAGCTCTTTTCTCACGAATTTGCTTTTTGATGTAGTTTCTATACTTCATTGTAGGAATGGTGACTTCGAAGAAGCGTTGATCGCATTGCCCAGGTAAGTAATATAATCTATTTTTGTAGGCAACCTATACTTGCAAAATAGTTGAAACGAACACTTTGTGTTTAGGATTTGTTGTAGGATCCCGTACACTTTTAACACAATCCGCACAACAGTAAAGGTGTTCCTCGTTTTGAAGGCTTTCCTTCAATAAAAGCATTTATTGTTAATAGATTTATACTTCTAGAAGTTTTAATATTGTAATGTGTTTATAGATTGGGCCTCCCCCATTGTGTCTCCTATAGGAAGTTAAAAAAAAAGGTAGTAATTACTTGTTAACCAAATTTATTTTGTTTTTTTATCGAATTCATTGATTGATTTTCAATGAAATGTAGATATGTGTTGGGCAGTATAGATGAGTGCTGCTGCTATTCACTAATCCCATTTAGGGAAAGCTTCTGTTGGTTTTGAGTTGTAATTGACATGAGACGAAAGGCTTAAAAACCGAATTTTGAGATTCATTTGGAGTATTCTGTTGGTTCTGAGTTGTAATTGACATGTTTTCTGGTAAAAAAACTGAGAAGTTTTTATTCTTGAGATGGAAATTAGGGGTGGAATTGCCGGACATCGTTCTTGAGGCCAGTTTCCCCCCCCCCCCCCCCCNTGGTTTGCATAAGTTTAATATTACTCCATTGGTTGCAGAACAGTTTCCAACATACTCAGAGATATGCCCTATTGTTAAATTTTGAGGAATAAAAATAAACATTGGACCCTCTTAGAAGTATAGATATGCACACTGTTCTATTTCTATGATTTAACGCAATGAACTCAATTATCAACAAATCTTTAGCATCCCACGAAAGTAAGGTCTGGGTGGGTGTGTGATGGCCGACATGAAAATCGTTTCCAAGAGATGCCTAGCTTGAGTAACACAAACACACACACACACACACACATATATATATATATTGTGGAGACTGTTTTCGATTTATTTGCAATTGGATATGTCGCATGTGTCTTGTATGTTAGTATGGAACTTTGAAATGTGGGAACAATACACTTTGGTATTTGGGAACATTAAAAATTAGGAATTTGATTACTGAAAATATTGTTACTTGCTCGAATACTCGTTACCCGAGTAGTCAAAGAAATGAAGTTTTCGTTATTCCTCCCGTTCCAATTTACATATATTCATTATTCATGTGTTCAAATTTTAATTATTATCTTTTGCCTTTTTTTTATTACTAGTTTGTTACTCCTTTCGTCCTAAGATTAATTTTTCATTTGATTTTTCGATCAAATTTTTTGGCTTTTAACTATATATTACAGAAAAAACAAATTATACACACACATATACATACATGCATACACTTTACATTAAGGGATGAAGTAATATTATTGTTATAATTTTCATTCCAACCGATAAGGCTACTGACCGCACACGTTCATTAATTCGATAGGGTCCAATATACCTTGGGCTCAGTTTTCTCTTCCTTCCAAATGTTATACCTTCTTCCATTGTGAAACTTTTCAAGAATTCACTTGCAATCTTTGACATTTTAGGTTAGCATAGGATTTCTATCGATTAGAAGCCATTTGCAATCTTTCTTTGATCAAGTAAACTTTTTCTTTGGCCTCTCAAACTAGATAGGTCCTTTAAGTTTTTACTCGCTCGATTTTGTCCAATGGACTAGAGTTCTATAGCACCTTCTATACAGTGCTTCGTACGGAGCCATTTGGATGCTAGCTTGATAACTATTGTTATAAGCGAACTCCATTAATGCTAGGTATTGTTCCCAATTATTTTCAAAGTTGATACTACATGCTCTCATCATATCTTCTAGAATTTGATCATCCTCTCAAACTGTCCATCTTTCGATGGATGAAATGTCGTACTAAAGTTAAGTTTAGTAACTAGTGCTTTCTGTAGACTTTTCCAGAACTATGACGTAAACTGTGGGTCACGATCAGAAATGATAAACAAAGGTACTCTGTGTAATCTCACAATTCACGGATGTACAGCTCTGTTATCTTCTTCAATGACGTGTCACGTCTGATTGGTATGAAATGAGCCGACTTAGTCAATCGATCGATGATCACCCAAACATCATCATTCATCTTTAACTGTTAAAGGAAGTCCTATCACAAAGACCATCGTAATCTGTTCCCACTTCCATTCAGAATGGTAGGCGGATCACGGGTGCAACAGTCCATTTGGCATTTGATGTTTAGCTTTAACTTGTTGACTGTTCATACATCGTGTTGTGAATTCCGAAATTTTCCGTTTCATTGTAGGCCATCAATACGTCTTCTTCAAATCTTGGAACAATTTGTTGCTACGTAGATACATTGTATACGTGGTTTTGTGAGATTCACGCATTAGACGTTCTCTCACTTCTCCACTGGGCACTACCAAGCGATTTCGATATAACAAAACTCCATTGTCGGTAGTGAAGTCTTGTCACTCCCCTTTAGAGACAAGATTGCAGGTTTTCTCAAGTATTTGTCATATTTTTGTTAGAAATCATCCTAAATAGGACTAAAACATAGTGAAAAGTATTAAAATAGGACTTTCATATTTTTTTTCCCGGAATAGGACTTTGCACTGTGATAATGTGACTTTGCATTGTGGTAATGTGGCAGTGTACATGTGCAAATTACTATACTTTCTTGGTAATGTATATGACCATGTTTTGTAATGCAAGTCCTATTTCGAGAATAAAAACGTGGAAGTCCTATTTTGGTATATTTTCAATGTTTTAGTCCTACTTTGGTCTTTCTTCCTATTTTTGTGGAGCATGAATTTTTCTTTCTAGAGTTGGTTGGAGTTGGACTTTAGCCACCAATTTCTGACTTAAAGCTTGTTCTTTAATGTTTAAACTCTTAACTTCGAGTTCCTTCTAGTTTCCAACAAGTATTCTCATTTTCTTCAAACTCATTCTACTTCCCAACCAATTAGTATAAAAACGATATATTTTTAATGTGATTATTATTATTATCACAACTATTATGTTCATAACTATAGTTTATAAATTATTTTTTGAATTCACAATTTTTTATGATTCACATTCCTTATTTTTTTCTTCAATTTTTTAATATGAATAAGACAAATTTTTGTATATTAATTTACCTGATAAAATAGGAAAACATCAATATTTTAAACTATATTAAAAAATTATAAATAAAATAGTTACATAGAATTTTTTTATTAATCAAACTTTATATAAGACCCCTCACCTTTTTCTTTATTGCTCAATTTTTTCTCACTTTTAATTATTTCAAAATTTAATTTTTTTTCATTTTTCTAATTTTAATAAAAAAATTTGGAAGTCAAAATAGTTTAGAGAAAAAGACTAAAATAAGAGTAAAACATAAAAAATATACAAAAAAGTTCTATGTCTTTATTCCAAAAAAAGGAGCTACAATTAAAATAAAATGTCAATCATGAAAGAAAAAGTAGGTTTGATTACATTATGTGACATGTTTGATATTTAAAACAAAATTTGTGATATATAAAGTATAATTACAAATATATTATTTTATAATAAATGCTGCATAAATAAATCGAGATACAAAGTAACCACAATAACTTTTTAAAAGTTAACATTTTGATATTTATGCTAACTTTATATTATTATTATTTTTTTTAAAAAAGTATTTTTTTTGTGTATGAAAAATAACAATACTTTTTTTATTTTAAAGACATTCATTAAGATATGATGATGATGATTATGATGATAATAATAATAATAATTTATAAAAAAAAGAATTAGAATGAGAATAATACACTAAAATAATTTTTTTATAGAGTTCTTTTAGGTTTTCTAATTTTTTGAAAATTTTCCAGTTTCTTGCAATTCCTTCCAGTTTCCTTCGGTTTTTTCAAGTTTCTTCCAACATCCAGCATTTTTTCCCAGTCCTAGAAAACATGCTCTTGGTGTGTCGGCTACCACGTTAGCCTTGCCAGGATGATTGTCAATGTAGCAGTCATGATCCTTGATCAATTCCAACCATCCTCTATGTCTTAGATCTATTTCTTTCTGAGTCGGCAAGTATTTTAGACTTTTATGATATGTGAATATATGTTGTTTTTCCAAAGAAATAGTGACGTCATATTTTCAACACAAATATGACTACTGCTAACTAAAGATCATGAGTGGATAGTTACACTCTCATGCAGTTTCAAGAAATTTTATTAGATCAAAGCAGAATTTGATATAAATCACGAAGAGAATTAGCTAGAATTAGCTATTCGAATAAAGTTTGTAATATCCAAAGTTTGAAAATCAAATCAAAATTTCAAAAAGTTAGATCAAATTTAATTTGTTCGGGTATATGAAACAGAGCCTTAGACTTTTTGTTTTAAATAATACTCCATCTGTCCCCAATTTGATTACAAATTGCGGATTACGGAGTAAAATTTTCTACTTTTTTAAATCATTTTATTTACAAATTGGTATATCAATAAGACATAAAAATTACATATTAAAAAACTACATCAAAATTCTACTCCCTCCGTCCCATTTTAAATTGCCTGTTTGCCTTTTTTCTCCGTCCCAAAATAAATTGTCTGTTAGTTGTTTTCGTAAACTATTAAAAATAAAATACCTAAACTACCCTTAAAATAAGTCATTCTTTTTCACATTATCTTTTCATTCATCATTACCCCTCATAAAAAGTAATGTCAATTTTGAAAAATAACCTCTATTTTTTATTTTCCTTAAATATGCCCAAAAGTCAAAATGGGCGATTTAAATTGGGACGGAGGGAGTACAAAACAAGAGGTGATAAGAATATTTTACTCCCTACGTCCCCAATTTGATTACAATTTGCGGGTTACGGAGTAAAATTTCCTACTTTTTGAAATCATTTTATTTACAAATTGGTATATCAATAAGATATAAAAAGTACATATTAAAAAACTACGTCAAAAGTTCTACAAAACAAGAGGTGACAAGAATATTTTATTTTATCAAATTCTTAATGAAATCGCGTAAACAAACAAAAGTTATCGAGAGGAGAGAGAAAAAAAGATTGTAATTAATTTATGGACGGAGGGAGTATTTTGTCAAATACTTAATGAAATCACACAAACAAAAGGAGAGAGAAAAAAAGATTGTAATCAATTTAAAGACGGGGAAATACAACAAAAAAAATATTTTGAAAAACAGCTTGGCGAGCGTTAACATTTACTACCGCGCCAAGGGGTGTGATTTTTGGGGTCAACGGTTCGGAACCAAATAGTCCAAAGAACAGAAAATGGGAAGCAGAAAAAAGGGGGGAATAATTGCTAGAAAAAAAATGATCTAAAATAATTATGTGTCAAAAAGTGGATACTGTGCATTTAATGTTTATTAAAGAAAACACACCTCTCCCCACTCTAAAGTCAACGCTCTCTGATCTCTCTCTCCCATTATTCTCATCAATTCATCATCAAATCAAATCCCCCCTTCCCCCTCTCTGTATCTTCTTCTTCTCCTTCTTCGATCACCATTTCCCAGAGATGTTATTATTATTATGAGCCGCTGACTGAATCGGAGGGTGGGGTTTTCTTTTTTCCTTTTCTTTTTCGTACTAAATATGGGCAACGGTGTGGGTAAACTGAGCGTCTGCTTCACGGGTGGCGGCGACGCCATCGAAGCGCGGCGGCGGAGGAATTTCCAAGCGGTGATGTCCGACCCTTTGGACGACTTGGGCCACTCTTTCTGCTACGTTCCAGACGTGGCGCGTCTCTCCACCTCCAAGGTCCACTCCGAGGAGACGACGGCGCCGTTCCGCTCTATTTCCGGCGCCTCCGTCAGTGCCAACACCTCCACGCCGCTCTCCACGGCGTTCGTCGACGTGTACTCGTACAACAACATCGATCGGTCTTCTACCTTCGAGAGCTCCACCTCCTTCGCTTCCATGCCTCTCCAGCCCATACCCAGAAACTCTGTTCACTCCGGCCCGCTTCTTGCCTCCGGCGGATTCATGTCCGGCCCAATTGAGAGGGGGTTCTTGTCGGGACCCCTCGATCGGGGCATCTTCTCCGGCCCCCTCGAGAAGGGCTCTTCCGATCAGTTCCGGCGGAGCTTCTCTTATGGAGGAGGAGGAGGGTTTGCGCTCCGATCCCGGTCGAGGAAGCGGAAATTGATTCGGGTCATCCAACAAGCCATCTCGAAAACCATAAGCCGGGGCCAGAACTCAATCGTCGCCCCGATTAAAGGGTCGGTTCCGATCACAGAACCCGATTGGGTTGTCGGGTCGGAGAAGCAGAACGAGTTAACCATCAGCAGCGAGTGCAGCTTAGATGACGACGGAGACCAAAATCTCCAATGGGCTCAGGGAAAAGCCGGCGAAGATCGGGTTCACGTGGTGGTATCCGAAGAACACGGGTGGGCTTTCGTGGGGATTTATGACGGATTCAACGGTCCGGATGCTCCTGATTATTTGGTCTCCAATTTATACCCAGCCGTTCATAGAGAGCTCAAGGGGCTGCTATGGGATGACAAGTTTGAATCAAGAATCGCCAATGCCGATCATCTCTGTCTCAATTTTCAGCCTTCATATCCAAAACCCGAACAGGGGAATCGAACCCTAAAAGATGGAGTCTTGAGAGATAGAACAAATGATGATTGCTCTAAATGTGTTGAGCAAGAAGTGTATCCTTCCACAAGGGAAGATTCTAATTCCGATCCCAAGTTTAGGAAAAGAAGGGGAAAGAACAGATACAGGGGTGGAGCTGCCAAGAAATGGGAGGAAAACCAGAGGAAGTGGCGGTGCGAATGGGACAGGGAAAGGCTGGAGCTTGACAGGAGGTTAAAGGAACAGTTTAACCGGAACGGGTCTCACGTTTCTGGGGAAATTAACCACGGTGATGTACTGACAGCTCTGTCTCGAGCATTGAAGAAGACGGAGGAGGCATATTTAGACCTTGCAGATAAGATGCTTGTGGAAAATCCTGAACTAGCTTTGATGGGTTCTTGTGTGATGGTAATGCTGATGAAAGGGGAGGATGTTTATGTGATGAATGTTGGGGACAGCCGCGCAGTGTTGGCTCAGAAGAAGGAGCCTGATCTTTGGAGCCAAGATTTGGAAAGAATCAAAGAAGAAACACTGCACGATCTTGAAGGGTTCGACGGGGATGAAGGGTTGGATCTTGTTTCGAGTTTAACTGCCTTTCAGCTCACCACTGATCACAGCACCTCAGTGGCAGAGGTAAAGAAGATATCTGCTTACTCCATTTATTTGATCACTTGATTAATTAATTATCAACTCATTAATTAATTTCTTTTTGTAATATGTTATTAGGAAGTCGAAAGAATAAGAAAGGAGCACCAAGATGATGCTTCCACTGTTGTGAATGGCCGGGTGAAAGGCTCTTTAAAGGTAACCCGAGCTTTTGGCGCGGGTTTTCTCAAACAGGTACAGACCAGAATATGAGCCTTAGCTTCTTCCATCTTGCTACCAAGTCAACTCTTTTTAGTGGATATTTTCAAGAGAACATAAATTTTCATTAAATAAAAAAAAAAGGGTATCGATATTCTTCTTAGTTGAGAACAAATTCAAACATTATCTAGGAAACAGATAGTTTCTTTCCACTTTTGGAAGCACACTCAGCAATGGAGACTGGTTGTCAACATACATTTATAGAGGATTATTCTTCCTGGAAAGTGGTGGGGAGCATTTAGAATCTAAGAATTCTTGCATCTTTATCTGCAGACGGTGCAATTTGAACCCATTATGAACTTTAAAGATAGTAAATCCATTCACTTTTGACTTGGATTTACTTTATAACTCTGGGATTTGCTTTAGATTCAAACATATCTTCTGTGTTTACTTTGAATAAGGTGTTCTTTTTTTCGAATTTGTTGGAAAAAATAAAGATCTTTTTTTCCTTTTTTCGTGCAGCCGAAATGGAACAATGCACTTTTAGAGATGTTCAGAATTCACTATGTTGGGACTACACCATACATAAACTGCAATCCATCCCTATACCATCACAGATTGGGAGGAAGAGACAGGTTCTTGATATTGTCATCAGATGGACTGTATCAGTACTTCACGAACGAAGAAGCGGTTATGGAAGTTGAGCATTTCATCGCGTGGTCCCCGGAAGGAGATCCCGCTCAGCATCTTGTTGAGAAGGTGTTGTTTCGCGCAGCAAAGAAAGCAGGTAACAAACAATGCTTTGTTTGGAAGAAGAAGATAAAAAATTACAAAAAGACCGTTTTATCTCGTTTCGAATGGAGACAGAAAAAAAAATAAAAACTTTTGTTCGCGTGTTCCAGGTTTGGAGTTCCATGAATTGCTCGAAATCCCTCAAGGGGATAGACGGAAGTACCACGACGATGTCTCCATCATCGTTATTTCACTTGAAGGGAGAATATGGAGATCATGTGTATAACTAGGAATAATGTGATGTAGAGATTTGAAGGAAAAAAACTACCATTTTTGCCCTTGCTCTTTTTTTCTTTTTCTTTTCTCCCCCGTCGTGTCGCCTCGGCAAGCATGACAACGAAAGCCGCTCTGGAAACAGGGAGTTGACATTGTTGTGCAGTGTAGATGAGGGAGGGGGATTGTAAAGGTGTAAATGCAGCTGCATTATTAATCTGAAGTCCTACCAAATGTGCTGTCATAGAAAATCAAAATCTTTCTCTAATAAAGACTTCCTCTAGAAGACAGAAGCTTTGTTCCTCATTGTTTTCAAACATCTTTAAGCACAATAAACACAAGTGATTCTTAGTGGGCAAAAACAGTACAAGGCCTATACAGAACAAGTTGCAGAGGGTGTTGAAGGAAGGGTAGCCATGGTAATTTTGTCGGCCACAAAGTGGATTATGAATGGAAGACAATTGATGATGGATGATTCTGAGCCATTAAATAGATTAAAATGGTGAAAGATCAGTGAGTGGATGCTAGAAACCCGGATCAAAGATCAGTGCTAGACCAAGTAATGCCTAGTCTATAGTTAACCCAATCTTTTTTCAAGTTTCTAACGGTAGAAAAAGGATAAGCTTCATCTCTGAAGACTTCTTCAGACCGGTTAGATAGTTCACTGAGAGGAAATTTTTAACTATAGAAAAAGGATGAGCTCCATAATCGAGAGTTTCCTCAGACCCGATCAAACGGTCATTGAGAGGAAGTTTCTAACTATAGATTTTTAAAGGATGGGTGGGGCAAGTAAAATCAATTATTTATAGCATTTGTGTGTTCAAAATTTAGAGAATCTAGTTTATTAAGATGAATAATACTGCAGGAGTGTTTTTAAAAAAAATTATGTTCCTGTTTTTTGCTTTTGTGAGATAAATAAGTGATTGTGCAAGTAAAAGGCATATTTCTCTTAAACAGTAAAGGGAAAATTTTAGTTAGGGCTAAACTATATACTCTGTATTAAAGTTATTTAATACGGAGTAAGGCTCCGTTCCGTTCAACTTATTTTTTCTGATCTGATCTGATTCTAATAAGTTCTGATCTGATCTGGTCTGATCTGATCTGATTGGATATGATCTAATCTGATCTGATTGGATCTGATCTGATCTGATTGGATCTGATCTGATTGGATCTGATCTGATCTGGTCTGATCTGATCTGATCTGGTCTGATCTGATTAATTATGATTTAATTTAAAATTTCAAATCAATAATTTAATTTGACTTTATAATTTTATAATAATTTTTTGATAATTTAATTTAATTATCAAAAAAATTCAAATCAATAATAATTTTTTGATAATTTAATTTAATTATCAAATTTTTTTTTGATAATTTAATTTAATTTATAATAATTTAATTTAAAATTTCAAATCAATAATTTAATTTTTAATTTTATGATAATTTTTTTGTATAATTAGAATTATACATTAGAATAAATATTTAATTTAGATATACATTAAAAAGTAATTAAATTTAGATAATCAATATATAGAAGAGATAGTATTTTTATTAAAATATATCATCCTTATAAAAGATCAAAAGTTTAGAAACTCAAACTACAAGTAGCAATAAAAATATATTTTAAAAGTAGAATTAGATTGATATTGTCAATGTATTTTAAAACTAATTTTTCCGACGTCTAATAATTAAGGATTACTTTCTTAGTTTTCTATTTAACATATTTCTAAAGTTTATTCTTTTTCATTTTTAAGAACAATAATAATAATAATAATAATAATAATAATAATGATGATGATGATGATAATGATGATGATGATGATGATCATAATAATAATAATAATAATAATAATAATAATAATAATAATGATAATAATAATAATAATAATAATAATAATTCTTGATGAGATCTGATTTTAATAAGTCCTGATCTGATCTGATCTGATCTGATTGGATTTGATCTGATCTGATTGGATCTGATCTGATCTAATTCGATCTGATTTGATTTTAATAAGAATAAGAAAAAATAAGAAAAAATAAGTTGAACGGAACGGGGCCTAAGTGACAAAAGGAAATTTAAGCTGGCTACATGTTTTTGGCTTCTGAAGGTGGGGTGAAATGATGATTTAAGAGTTAATGCTCGCTTTGGCCTCTATAAGTACATTGGTGAGCCAATTTGGTCATTTTATGTTGTGTGGACTTAAATTAGTGTTTCAGTAATACTGTTAAAATATATTTTATCAAAGAGACTAATTTGATTCATGTTTTTTAGCTATAGAAACAAATTTGATTCAACACAACAAAGAGGAACCAAATTGACTCGTCGGTGCACGTTCAAGAGTCAAAAATGATGAGCATTAACTCGGTAATTTAAGCACTTAATATCAATAGAAAATACCAGAATTTCAATAAACTAAATATCAAAATCCCTACGCAATTCAAGGTGTTGTTTGACAACAATGCTAGAGTTTAGTGTTAATCTTTTCAAAATTAATCTACACTAATAAATTTTGATTGTAAAATATAAACGCTAATACTAAATACTAATTGAAAACGAAGTTTTCAAATAAAACAATAATGGAGTTTGGAAACGCGCTCTTCACCCGTCTCCAACCAAGCTCTCACTTTGACTATCACCATATAAATCTTCCTTCGTATATATCTTTCATTCCTTCCCACATAATCCCCACCAAAATCTTGTCTTTCACCTCGACGAAAGATTTGCAACTATATATTTATGATGAGTAGAATCGAGACCCTAGTTTTAAAAAACTTCGCTCTAACATTACCCGTTTTGAATAGCATTTGATCAAATAGTTACACGCTTTGACTACAAATTCTAAGAAAAGTATATTTAATTACGGAGTATAATATAAATTTAATATAATTAGATTCAACTCAGGATTAGTTTTGATTATCAAATTTTCATAGCGAGTAATTGTTTGACCAAAAATAATTCAAAATGGGTAATGTTTTGTGGGATGGAGGTAGTAAATAATTGTGTTGGTCACATAATTAGAGTGAGACTTTTCAAATAAAATTCTTTGAGTAACTAAAGGAGAAATCAGGACTTTTCATATAAAAATTACCCCTTCCGTTCGAAAATGTTTATCTCATTTTTCTTTTTAGCTCGTTCAGAAATATTTTTCTCATTTCCTTTTTTAGTCTACTTTTTAAATATAAATTTTAATAATATCCTTCTACTTTACTACTAATCTACTTTTTTATTGCTTTTTTAATAAGAAAATTAAAGAAGCTCTAAAAGTTTATAGTACGTGCATTTTTGGAAATTTGACATTTTTTAACTACTTCTTAATAAGTGTGTCAAGTCAACACCTGATCGAAGAACATTTTCGAACAGAGGGAGTACTCGTTTAAAAATTAGGATCAAATAAAGTTCTTAAAGGTAATCTAACACCAATTGAAATGGTGTAAGATTGTTACACTAATTCAATTGGAGCACCTAACGTGCTTCGATCGTAAAAGAGTATTTTGGTTTTGACTTTTCAAAAATGCTCTTGGATGTGATGACTAAAAGTAGGATGTGATGGATTGATTAATAATAAATAGATATGATGTGATACGTAGATTAAGAATTATTTGGGATAAAAGTGACTTTATCATATAAATGAGAAAGGTTTTTTAGGACAAATGGAAAAAGAAAGGAAAAAGATTTGTGACACAAAAGGAGTACTATTTAATTAATGTTTAAAGTTTATCAAATGGTTACAAAAAAATCAAAATTAGACAAATAGTTACCCGGGGAAGAAGGTAGCAACTAGCAGTGTGTAAAATTCCCTATATTTAGCTAGCTAGTTATATACTCCGTATATACTGTAACAAATCCTTCCCTTTTTCTTGAGTTATAAAATTTTCATATCAGTTTCCGGTAAAGATATATATGATCGTGAGGCATGCAACTACCTATTTACGTCAAACTTCTTCTCCATATTTTCCAATGATTTCAATGCCCAATGTCCTTACAACACAATCCTACCGTACCTTAGCTTCATGCATGCATGCTTTGACTTATTTATACATTAGCCGATCATATATGAATCGAAGAACCCATTATATTATTCATTCATTTAGATTTTACACACACACACACACTATATATATATATACACACACACACACACACACAGAGAGATATAGACACACACACATTCATATCCATATGTTTGTACTACGTGTACGTACCATTTATACATATATCACACCTACTACTCTAACTGCTAACTATATCTGAATATAATGTGAAGTTTAGTAGTGAATGAAAAAATAGAGTAATACCGGTACGGTGGGTAGCTAGGTTTAATTTTTAGGGTTCATCGAGGCCCATTCAATTTTTTGGAAGCAATAAATACTTCTCTAGTTTTTGAAGTGGAATTAATATGTGCAGTAGTACCAGCAGCAGCACTTATATTTGGTAGGTATTAGTTGATCGGTGTTTAGTTCGTCTACTCCGTCCTAAAAAAAATTGTCAAACTATGCAAAACAAATCAACATTTTAAATTTTTTTATTTAATAATTGATATAGGATTTAAAAATAAAGCTTACATATTTGAAAAATACTTAAAATTATTTTTTTTTAAACAAGAGGGGATAAGATTATTTTATTTTATCAAATAATTAATAAATAGATAAAAATTCTCCTAATTTTCAAGTAGTGAATTGTTGCATTTTTTTGAACGAAGAGAGTATTTTGTACCTTTCAATTTTCATTTCTTTATTTCGTTGGACGAGACAAAAAATGAATACATTATTCATATTTTTTTCTTTTGTTATATATCCTTAATAATACGTTATTAGAGAATAAGTAGTCTCTATGTCCCTTACCTTTCTTTTAATTTGACTTTTCACATTTTTCAAAACAATACTTTGATCATAAAAATCTCTACTTGTATATATATTCACAGATTCTAATATATACTACCTCCGTCCCATGAAACATGGAACATTTGCTTTTTAGGAGGGATTTAAGGGGAGTGTATTTTGGTATTGAATTTCCAAAAATGTCCTTTGATATGATGGGTAAAAGTATGATTTGATGGATAGATTATTAGTAAAAAGGTATGATGTGATAGTTAGGGTATGAAAAAGTAAGGGGTAAAAGTGACTTTTTAATATAAACGAGAAGTGTTTTGTGGGGCGGATAAAAAAAGAAAGGGGAAAGGTTTCATGAGACGGAGGGAGTAATATTTAAAAACTACATGTCAAAATGAATCTATTGATATTCAATTTATTTTACAAATCAATATACTTGTACTATATATATAATTCATGGTCAAAATTAAAAAAGAAATTGATTAAAAATTAAAATATAAAAAAATATAAGAAATGAAAGAAGAACTGAGAGGGGAGTGTTTGTTTATTACGAAATGGCCGGCCTATCAACTATCATTGACTTCGGCTCTTTAGTCTTATTAAATTGAACAATACAAACATTATAAAAAACACACTTTGACCAAACTTTCTTATTGGATTTTTGCATTTATGGCTCATAGTCTAACCAAACGTATTAATCCATGTCCCCCAGTATTTGTCGACTTCCATTTTTACACACCATCCAATACGTACTTCTTTGATTCATTTTATCTTGTAATTTGTATATGAAAAAATTATAGAAATTATATATTAATAATCTATATGTTAAGACAAATCAAACAAGATTACACATGATTATATTTAGACTTACACATTGAGAGAATTTGATGAGTCAAAGTGCTTAGATGAATAGTTTCAAAAGTCAAAAGTGGACGAATATAGCGGGACGGAGGGAGTAATTAATAATTTTTATCCTTTCATAAATTATAGTCCATCCGTTCCTGAGTATTTGTCCACTTTTGACTTTTTTGGTCAAAATTAGTAAATTTTGACTTCAAATTAAATAAAAATGATATTAGATATTGATACAAAAAATGATATTGTATCAAGTATTTTCAAAATATTATTTTATTTAATTAAAATATAATACACACTTAATTTAATTATAAGTCAAAGATTAAAAATAGTTGACCGAAAAAATTCAAAACTGGACAAATACTCATGGCATGGACGGAGGCAGTACGCCTTAATCACTTTCCCTAACATACAATTAACAAAACAAAATCGTCGAAAATCCGATTAACACACTATGATCAGCTTTTGAATTGGCATACATGAATAAGTCCACATGAGGTTTTAAACAATTTGTTACGAAATCTACTAGTTTCCTACCCCGTGCTTCGCACGGGCTCGTGATTTATGCTAAGTGTTGTTTGCATTTTTTACTCGAAGGCGTAATGTGTTGTGTATAAATAATCATTTTTATAAGTATGTTAGTTCTCATTTTTTAAAGAACTCCAGCTTTAAGATGTTCAGTAGTTTTGTAGTTAAATTTTTTAAAAAACTAATTTATTAAAAAACGTAGAAGAGTGTTGGAACCAGCTAGTGTTAATCCCGTGCTCGCACGGGCTCATATACATTCTAAATTTTTAACATTCTATAATTATAATTTTATTTATTTTTGTTTTCTAATAGTTACATAATATGTGTTAGATGAATATTTTTTAAGTCTAAGATATATATATTTTTCAAATAGCCATCATGTAACGTAAAAATCTAGTGCTTAACAAAAATATAATGTACCAGCACCCTGAAGCCTTAACACGACTACAGGATGATGCACATTAAACCAATAAGTGTAAAGGCATCTATGTACACCAAGAATTTACTTTAAGCAGCTTATCTTGCTGGATTGCTGCTTCTCTGGCAGACCAAGCTGACCAATATGATGCACATAAGATTGTAACAACAGCCATGAGCCACAGAAATACTTCAGCTACATCAACCACAGGACGCCTTGGAGAATACAACTGCACAGAAACTGAGGAGGGTGGAAATGACTATCAAGCTCTTGTCATAGTGTAGAAATAGAGCTTGAAAGCCCAAATCAAGAATATAAATACAATTTGAATATTTAAGTAACTAAAGATGAGAAAAGGTAGTCATTAGTTTCTTTTTATTTTTTCCTTCATATGAATTTTACCCCTTGACTTGTTCATTATATTGTCTATCAAGCTTTTGCCTGCATCTTGAGGGAGCATGATAGCAGGTATGCCAATAACCAAATCAGTCTCATTTCCCTGACAGACCATCTTGAAGTGCTCTGCAATGCAAAGAGAAGAAATACAGAATTGACTTACATTGTATTCTCAGAAATTTCAATAATAGAGATATCCATTGCATGACAGCGCACAACATTGTTGAAAACCAGATATTTCATTTGAAACACATATTGACAAAATAACTGTGCTACTAAGTGGTGTATTAAATGGATGAAAACAAAAATTAACGCACCTCTTCCTTTTGTCGTGTCAAACACCTTTGAGATGTGTAAATAGATTTTCGTAATCTCAGAGTATCAATATGAAATTGAAATGAAAAAAATGCAAAAAGAAAAAAGAAAAGGATCCATGGAAATACATGCAATTTTTTCCTTTTCTTTTTGTAGTAGCACCCATCAATTCGCAACAACTTGTCCCCCGATTGAGCCCTTCATTCATGTATTGTAGCAGTAGGTTACCTGTCTTTGAAAACCAAAGCATTACAATTTAAGATCAAAGGAAAGGAATAACTAAAACGCACCTGAGGTATTCGGTGTTTTAGCATACCAAAGTAGATATGTGCTTAGAAGGGGGATTTATCCCTTTCGTTGAGCTTTTGGAAATGGCTTAAGTTAATACTCTTGAAAAAACTATCAAAATAAAAATGCATATTGGTTATGGATTCTCATATTAGGGATCCGACTACTGGTTGCCAGAAGAAGCTTGAGATTGACGATGAGCAGAAGCTACATGCCTTTTATGAGAAGAGGATCTCTAATGAGAATGAGATCTCTCATTGAGCTTAGGGAAGAAACATCAGTTGCTGATGCCGCTTGTTGACTAAAAAAACATTTTAATTCTTGGAGCTCTAGCATGAGGCACACACTTGAGGGCTGAGGCCAATAATTTTCTTCACCAATACTTTCCCCTCCGTGCAAACATGCCCGACCACGTCTGTGAAAACTTTTTGTTCTGTAGGATATAAATTTGACTAAGCCGGCAACAATAGAAACACATTTAAAAAGACAAAATAAGCTATATGTATGTAGTATTGGCCCATTCTTGCATACCTTATCAAAGTCCATTAAATCAAAGTGGTCATTGGGAAGACTGTTGTCTCACCAGAAATTAAGTTTACTATGGGAGAACAGGCGGAGAAATAGATAAGAATAGAGGGACATGCATTCAAATGGTGAAAATAATTAACCTCTGGGCATTGTGACATTGATTAATTCAGCTAATCAGAGAAGAGTGAGTGACACACCATACGAACCTTACTCATACAAACTCCAGACTCACGTGTCAGACTTTCCGCAGGGATTTATCTTCGAGTAATGTTCCTCAATGAACCACATTGGAAGATGCCATGCCTATATCTACGTATCTCACCTCTACTTCACTATATGCTCATACCTGTTTCTCCGGAACATCCTTATATATTACAAACAAAGGAAGAAAATCAACTTAGACAGGTACAAAATATCAAATAAATGACAACCTAGACAGTCGGAAAAACTCAAATAATGATGCATCTGAATTGCGAGTAATGGGGAGGAAATTTACAAACCTGACGTTACACCATTAACTGTTGCGAGGTCGAACTCCTCATGTGAAAAACCAGTAACTCGATTGTAGTAGAAATCAGAAGAAACTCAAACGCAAATCAAAATTGTGTGTTGGATGCCATCCAGTGAGTCCACCTGCGTTTAGATTCGGAGTTATGCATCAAAAATGTGGTTTGTTTTTGCCTATTTATTTACCTTCTGTGATGTGTGAGTGATTTGCTTCAAAGGGAGGCAGTATATCTTTGCCTTAATTCAACATAGAATTGTGAGTAATAACATGCAAAATTTAAAATTAATATCCCTAAACTAAATCAAAGGAACGGGGAACATGGGTCTTTTGCATGAACAAATAAATCTTTGCTTCAATTCAACATGGAATTGTGAGTGAAGACATGCAAAAATTATATAATCAACATCCCTAAACCAAATCAAAGGGCAAGTGAAATTACTTGGGCGATGACGAACGGGAGCAACACTATAGAGGAGGTATTGTAAACCAATTCTACCAGAGATTGATGAAGGAAGGAAAAGGCGTTTGCACCAAAATCTGCATCGCACCCCGTCAAGCTTGAAATAATTATGTTGTGCTTGGTGTTTAATAAGGTAGGTCATGTTTTTTTTTTAAGAAAAAATAATTGTTAAGGAGTAATAAGAATGGCAGCAACTAAACCCATTTTAGGCAGCCATTTTGTATAGGGGCCTGATATGAATGTGGGATAGAGAAAAAAATCAATAAGCTGCACTTTTCAACGAAACACAAAACAAAAAAAAACATTTATCTCAAAGCTTAATATTTATCTTTTGTTCAAGAAAAAAACAAAGAAGATATCAAGATTACCTTCAGGGGAATATTAGGGAAAAAATAAAGCCAAGTTATAGTCCCTAAAATAGAAAACAATGTCTAAGATATTACATCTCGTAGTCAATTGGTCCATAATACTCTGAGAAAATAACAACCAGATCTTTGTTGGTTGGATGGATTAAAGCATATTTGCATTTGTATTAAGTTCAATGGATGAGCCACTTGCAATTATAAACATAATTCATCAAACTTTGCACTTCTTGAATATAGTCTTTCTCATTTAGTCCCTCACATCTTCAGTTGTGATATTAGAAAATAGACCTTGAGAGCATAAAACAATATTAGAAAAAAATCAGGGAGTATACATGAAAAATTCAAGGAGCTTGAGAACATAAAACAATATGTAACATGACTAAAAGAACATAAAAAACACCTTATCATGAAATTTTAGCCCTTTGTTTACTTATTTAAGTACATAAGTTTCATATGTTCATGTCATAGCCATGAAACATAGCCTAGAATTAATACAATAGAAATCAAAGTATGACATGATTAAAGAGAAAAGAAAGAATTACATTGAACTTACAAAAGAAAAATTGCTCGCACATTAACCCTTCCATGAACGAAGCCATCCCACCAGGGCTGCCTAGCTATCTGTTGCCATTTAGATCAGGTCACCACAGGACTGTAGGTGCTGAAGGTCTGAAGCTGATGAAGGAATCATTAAGAAATGGAAACTTTGACTTGGAATTGTTAAAAAAGAATAAATACATTGAAAAATTGTTACTAAATTCTCACCTGAGCCTGAACCTTCTTCTCGGGCTTTGAAAGATCATATAAGCGGGTGGAAATGTTCAAATTCTCAAAGATGCATGTTATCATACTAACCTTATAATTCTCCTAGGAATTTAACCAAGAATAAGATTAGAAGAATGAAACCCTTCTCCTCTTCTCCTTACTCTTCTTTTTAAACCATATGTGTAATAAAATTACAATAAAATCTTTACAAACTATTGGTTTGAAATCACAATTGTAGATTTACCTTTATCCTCTGCAAATGCAAACTCAATGAGAATGAGCTTTCTGCTGTTGAGGAGAATTAAAGGGGCCCTTATCACGGAGCATTATTATAGAGATACAAAAAAACCCATAATTTGAAATTCAAGAAATAGAATTAAGAGAAAAAGTAAGGATTCGGAGATAACATGTGCGGCGGATGGGATCTGTAAAGGTGAGCTGGCGGTGGATTTTTGGAGTGCTACGGGATGCCGCTGCTTGAGTGTTGCGGTGAACGAAGGGTTGTGGCTGCTGTCATCCGTCAGCTGCTACGGATCGGCCCTTGGCTCCTATCCCTGCGTACGAAAATGAAAATGAGACGGCTGATAGATTTGATGGAGGATTTGAATTGAGAACTGATTGGGTTGTTTAGAGTGACCGATAGACTTCCCATGAGCAGCGGTTTTACCTTTGCACACTCAGAATGCCTATGTGGGTGATGACTCAAAAAAAAAAGCCACATACACTAAAAATAACACATGTGGATTGACACGTGGCGTCCCCACAACTGATGCACTCTACTTTATATATATGATGCAATTGGTTATGCAAAGTGATCAAATACGAGAGAGTGTGACTCGACAACCAACACATGTTTAACCCATTTAGATTTGACACCTTTGGGTTCCTCACGCTTGAGGTTGTGGAACTCCTTAGTCATGCATGGTTATGTTAGGACCCTTAAGTTTATGAATATAATTTTTAAAAGACTTAGTTTGCTATTCAAAAGGGCAAGTGCCGCACTTAGTTGCACGTTTGCTTTCCACTTCGATATATTAGACAATCACATTATTCTAATTAAGAATTCCTTCTGTCTCTAGAAATCTTTCATTTTTCCATTTTCATCTGTCCCAAAAACACTTCTAATTTCTATTAAAAAGTCATGTTTATCCATTATTTTTCATAGCCTATCTATCACATCATATCTTTTTACTAATAATCTACCAACCAAATCCTACTTTTATCTATCACATCAAAGGATTTTTTTATTTAGAAATTTAATACAAAAATACACTTCTCTTAAATCTCTTAAAAATCAATAACTCCCATGGATTCAATACACTTCTCCCCTGGCTTGAGTGGTAGCAAGCCCACTCCCCGGATTCATGGGAAAGTTCACCCAGGTTCGAGCCCCAGCGAAGGCAGCAGCATTGGCTCTTTGTGCGTCATTAGTCATTAGTTTGAGAATAGTATGAACAGATACTACCTTGTAATAGAGTCAATAGCATTCAAAAAAAAATGACTCCCATGTTTTTAGGACCGGAGGGAGTATATGATAAAAAGCTGGTTTTACCTTAAAAAATTGGTTATATATGAATTATGTTGCTTTTTCAAAAAATTAGATTATATAGAAAGACAATCATATTCTCTTCAACTTATTATTATTAATTAATTATTACTTTTTTTTATTAAAATCAATTCAGATCAGATCAAAACTTTAGATCAAAATCATTCAAATTAGATAAAGAGAACATGTCTTTATTGATGAACTTTTAAAACCAATTCAAAGAAAAAGAAATGAATATGATCTACTCCATACGTCCCTGTTTTGATTAAAAATGGAAATTATGAGGTAAAATCCCACGAATTTTAAAATCATTTTATTTACAAATTGGTACATTTTTCTTTTCCAAGCAAAAAATAAAAAAGACAAAAAATTATCAAAAATTTGAAAAAGTAAAGAGAAATTATTTTATGAAGAAGAGTAATTATTACTTGCTCGATCCTAAATTTCATAACAAATTGGGTTTACGAGGTAAAATGATGTATATTTTGAAATCATTTTATTTAGAAAATGTTACGTTAATAAAAAAAAGTTATATATTAAAAAATTATTTTAAAAGTTCTACAAAATAAGATGGGAAAAATTATTTTATTTTATTAAATAATCAATGAAAAACTGATAAATAAATAAAGTTATTGATGAAGAAAAAAAAATATTGTAATCAAAATTAGAGGGAGAGTATTATTTACGGAGTAGTTTTCAACCAATTTTTCCGCCCAACACGTGAAACATTATTGTCAATTTATTTGAAAAGCAAATTAAATGTTGTAATTTGACACGTTTGTGATTGACATTCTGCACCTGCCGTGTGACATTACTTGCTTTTCGATTTCCGTCTTACTCCCTCCGTCTTTGTCCACTTACCTTTTGGCACATCATCTAATGCATTTCTCTAATCCATTTTATCTTGTAATTTGTATATTAAAAAATTATAGAAATTATATATTAATAATCTATATGTTAAGACGAATCAAACAAGATCACACATGAATATTTTTAGGTGTACACCGCACATTGAGAGAATTTGATGAGTCAAAGTGCTTAGATGAACAGTTCAAAAAGTCAAAAGTGGACAAAGACAGTGGGAGGGAGGTAGTAATTTTTATTACTCCCCCCGTCCCCAATTTGATTACAAATTGCTTACGGAGTAAAATTTTTTAGTTTTTGAAATCATTTTATTTACAAATTGGTACATCAAGAACATATAAAAATTACATATTAAAAAACTACGTCAAAAGTTCTACAAAACAAGAGATGACAAGAATATTTTATTTTATCAAATACTTAATGAAATAGCGTAAACAAACAAAAGTTATCGAGAGGAGAGAGAAAAAAAAGTAATCTATTTAGGGACGGTGCACGAGATCATGTAAATTTCTAAAATTAGATTAATAAATAAGCTAATAAGTAAAATATAATTTTTATTTCTAAAATAAATAATCTGAAGAAATATAGTTGTGTGTGTGTCTATATATATACATACATACATACATACATACATACATACATACATATATATATATATATATATATATATATAATATCATTGAATATACTTAACATATATGTCTCCTTATGTAATAATATTATTTAGAATGTTTAAATTTATAATAGTGTACACAATTTTGAGATATATAATTGATAACAACTTTTTTTTAATCATTACAATGTCTAATCATTTGGGTACAATATAATTTTTTTTAAATACTCTAGAAAACCTCTTAATACACAACATTGGTGGTTTCAAAATCTAGTTTATCTTCATCACTACAAATCAAAATAGTGAAATTTGTACTAAATAGGACTAAAGCATAATATCTTTCCTAATGTAAGACTTAAACTTTTTTATTCTCTAAATAGGACTTAATAATAATGACCTAGTGGAAGAAATAATGTCCAGTAATGATGGACATTTAGTTGAATAATGACTACTTGATAATAACCAAAGATCTTACATTGGAAAATAAAAACATATGGTCCTATATTGGGAAAGTCATTATGTTTTAGATCTATTTAGGTAAATTTCTCATCAAAATATTCAACCCCGAACGACTTCCAACCTTTTGACATGGTAACATATAATTGTCCGTGACTAAAAAATGGTTTTTGAGTAGCATCCAACTTTGAAAAGTGATTGTTCTTGACTCTTGCTTTTGGTCATTGTATAGGAAACCATGATTATTATTTTCTTTGAAACTTAAAAAGTAACCTTGCATCAGACGGTGTTGATGAAAACTTAGGAATCAATATCTTTTCACTTGCATTACTCCCAGTAATAAGTTTAGCTTCTAGCACCTGATTTTCGGGCCTTTAACAATAAGTCTTGTTGCTTGACACAAACCATTATCATGGTGAATATTACACGGTAGCATTATTGGTGTTCTTACCTTTAGTCGTATAAAAGAATTGTGAAAGAAGAAGTGGGGTAGATCGGCACTTTCAACAGAGAGTTTAGGCTGGTTTTGTTTTTTCGTGCCTGATAAACCGGAAGTTGATTCCGGATGTTGTGCATTGGAGAGAGTTTTTCCTTGGGCATGTTTTTTAAGAGTTGCGAAAAAAAATTCTAGGGCATATATTTGCGTTGGGGAGAGTTGTGTTTTGAGCAAATTTTTTTAGGAGTTGCGATCAATATTCTAGGGCCTAGATTTGTCTAATTTCTACAAATTGAAATTAGGCCGTCAATTTTAAGATTGTGGCGAGAAAATCAGATGTCAATTTTGATTCATCTTTCATATACTCTCTCCCTTCTCAAAAATACTTTCTCTTTCATTTTTTGCATTTCCAACAAAACACTTCCCTTTTATATTAAAAAACCACTTTTACCCTTACTTTTTCATACCCTACCTATCACATCATACTTTTTCTCTAATAATATATCTATCACATCTTACTTTTTACCAATCACATCAGGAGCAAAATTGGAAATCAACTACTCCCTCCGTCCTCAATTTGATTACAAATTGCGGGTTACGGAGTAAAATTTCCTACTTTTTTGAAATCATTTTATTTACAAATTGGTATATCAATAAGATATAAAAATTACATATTAAAAACTACGTCTAAAGTTTTACAAAATAAGAGGTGACAAGAATATTTTATTTTATCAAATACTTAATGAAATCGCATAAACAGACAAAAGTTATCGAGAGGAGAGAGAAAAAAATTGAAATTTATTTAGGGACGGAGGGAATATAATTTAACACTTCCTTATTTTTGCCCCCACATCAAAATGCAGAAAATTACTCACTGGTAACACATGTTTTGTCGAAATAACTCTCAGGTCCCTCTATTTTCAAGAAGACAATGGAGGTCCTTTAATTTTGTTGTAATGACCGGGAGAGGACATTCCAGCCAATATTTCATCCATTAATGTAAATAAATGTATTTTTTTCATTTTTTTTCTAAATATTTTAAGGTAATAAATCTTAGGTCGCTCCTTTTTTATTTCTTTTTTTTTCTTTTTTTTTGTTACTCTTTTTTAAAGTGTTATTTTAGAATTTCTTCTATAAAATCAGATAAAAATTCAAAATTGTTTGTATTATATTAAAATAAATGAAATAAAATATTTTCTTAAAAAGAAAAAACCGAGTAATAGCAAAATAGGAAAAAATGGTAATGGAAAAATAGGAAAAAAATACATTTATTAACACTTATGGATGAAATATTGGATGAAAAGTCCCCTCCCAGTCATTACAACAACATATAAGGACCTTAGTTGTCTTCTTGAAAATAGTGGGACCTGAGAGTTATTTCGACGAAATTCGCGTCACTCGTCAGTAATTTTCTGTATCAAAATGAGAAGTCTTTTTGCAAACGGAGGGAGTATATAATAGAAGTTGGAAAAAATCAACGAGATTAAACAAATGGTCTCTAACCCTGCTATTGCTATTGGGCCAAGAGAAGGACGTTAGTGATCCATTGTGCAGTCATTCAAGAACACCAATGGGAGATCATCAAAAATCAAAATCAGTATCACCTTTATTGGATCCGGGTTGGTCTGGACCTTTCTGCATATGAAAGAGTTTAATTGGATCCAAATCAACAAAAATGCTCATCAATCACATGATTTTGGGCTATGCCCAATCTTTATTTTTTTTTAATAAATTTTATAATTGATCCTTTATAATATGGAGTTTCCGTATTTAGTTATCTATTATTAAATATTATGGGTAATTTATCTCAATAGAAAAATTTATAGACTATGGTGTTATCAATTTATTAAAGCTGCTGTCGTGTGATCACAGATTTCTCCGCCAATGAAACAGTTTTTGGCTTTGGTTCCGAAAAACATCTTTTATTCTTGGATAATTTCTATCATGGGTAATTTATCTCAATAAAATTAAAACATAATGACTTTCTCAATATAAGATCATATATTTTTATTTTTTAATGTATGCCCATTGGTCATTATTCATTAATCATTATTTAAGTAAATATCCACCGTCACTGGACATTATTTATCCCACTAAACATTATTAAATACTCCCTCCGTCCATGTAAGATGTTCTCAATTTGATTTTTTACGGTTTTTTATGAGAGTTGAAAAAAGGTGAAAGTTTACCAAAATACCCTTAATGAAAATGGGTGGGGTGTATTAAATAAAGTGGAAAAGGTGTAATAAATAAAGTAAGTGGAGGTAGTTGTGGTATTTTAATTATTAAAAAAGGTAATGAGAAGATCTATGTGGGACAAATAAAAAGGGCAAATGGGAAGATCTATGGGGGACGGAGGGAGTATTATTTAGAGAATAAAAAAGTTTAAGTCCTATATTGAGAAATGACTTATATTTTAGTCTTATTTAGTGCAAATTTCACTTCTATCATTTCCTTTGGAATAAAAAACTCACTAATTTTTTACTTTACAAAATGATGGAATAAAGCAAACTGGTGAATAGAAAAATGGCCAAAAAACTTGATGGTAAAGCTTCCCTAATGAGAAACTGAAAGAAATGTGGATTAATGATTATTTATTTTTGCTAAAGGCAATCGAAAGGCTGACTAAAATCCATACAAAAAATGGAATGAACTAGGGGTTTTTAAGATGAGGCTTCCAATAAGAAACTCGTTTTTTACTTTTTGGCGATATGGCCGAGTTGTAAGGCGAAGGACTACAAATTATTTGGCGAAATAGACTAGTTTTATTTCATTAATCAAATAGCGGGTGTAATTTATTTGTGTTCGATTCAGATTAGATATCCATAGGAATATTTTGATTTATAACTTTGCGTTCTTTAAATTCATCAAAAATCTAAGAGATGACTACGTCTGTACTATAAATATGCTGTTACATACGAATAAGCCAATTAAAATTAAGGTAATCAGAACTAGACCTAAAATGATTTCCAATAGAAAAGCTTCTATCATATAGATGATTCATTAAATTGCTTATGTCTCTTTCAATATTGAAGTAGCAATTAGTCAATGCAAATTTCGACACCCTTCTTGAATCATCTAAAAAGAGTTGATCTATACTTAAACATAGCGGTCAGACTGAGTACATCCAACCTTCTTACCATGTACTAGGCAAGAGCCTTTAAAGCACTTGGGTGATATTGTTATTATTAGCATTAGATAAAATTTTTATGATATGTAGATTGATTTTAAAATTGCTAACACTAAACGCTTTCGTTAGAAATTATTTTTAAAACCCTAACTCACCTCTAATGATGTTACAAAATGAGACATTTATACACATGGAAATAATCAATAAGAGTATTATAAAGTTAAAAAACTTGGGGTGCAAATGAAGGGTGTAGGGATGGATTTCCGTCAAGGCGGACGGGAGATTTACCGGGAGAGTTAGAGGGTAAGAAGTGTCAATTTTACAGCAATTAGCAAACATCTACTGGGTATATAACACTTAGAAGCTTCAATTAATTTATGTCTGCTTTATTTCACTTTTTCCCTTAAAAAAAAATAATTATGATTCTCGTGTTTCATGTTCCACATCAATATAATGGAGCTAATAAAGCAACAGCTTCTCCACATGACTTCCTGCATGGGCCAGCAGCCAGCCCTTTGTTCCATATAACCCTTTTTCTTTCTTTGACTCAATTCCCCCTCCCATTGTTTCTTAAGAGTGCCTTTTAACTGCTCAGCAAGTATATAGTATATTTTCTTGAACATATTGAAGAATTGATCAAATATATATGTCCATTTCTGGTTTGCACAAACAAGAAAATGCAGGAGGAAGGGTGGCCTCTGGGACTGCAGCCCTTGAGTTTAAGGGCAGGGGTGGTGAGAAACAGAGATCAGTACTTGTCTGCAGGATCATCTTCAACATTATCATATATACACACTCCATCTGTCTACTTTGTTGTTTTTTTCTCATTTGATCTTTCACGGTCTATAAAGCAACACTTTGACGATTGATATCTTTTGTTGTTGCAGTCGATGCGGTTGTCGTCATTATTGTTCATAAACGATAGGGGCACAACACTGGGAAGCCCAATTGGGGTTCCACAAATGGTGAACATCTCATCATCATCATCATCATCATCATCAAGAAGAAGATCAAGAAATGAAGAAGCTCAAGTAGTAGCTGAAGTGGTAAAGAAGAGCCAGCTGCAGTGGAGGAAGTGTTTCTCATTCTCGTTGTGCCCCACGGTTAGCCGCACCGATGCCTCTGAGGCTTCCATAGTACGACGACCTTCCTCGTCGGCGCCACTTGCCCATTTTCTAGCTGTGGAAAGGAGAGCAAACTGCGGGCAGTTTAAGACCAGAAGCCGCCGCAGCCGGGGTCGTTTCCCAGTGATTAATTACGTGCCAGATGAATATGAGTGTGATGTTTATGGGCAAGATGATGATGATGATGATGATCATCATATTGGAATTGAAGAGCCAAATTCACTCTTCACAAATGGTCACATTGCCCCTCCCCCGCCTAAGTTGAGGGAATGGGGAGAGCATTATTTTGGAGCCTGAACATGAGATATGGTGACCACGCTAGGCTTCTTCTAGCTAGGCTGTTCCTTTTTCATATTTCATGCTTTAATACTTGTGGTTAAACTTTGGTGTTTTGTTCACATTATTCTCTTATTATATCATATTATTCCACCTACTTTACATGCACTGCTTTCACAATTAATTAGATAGTTAAGCGGCACATATGTTGGTGAGTTTATTAGTGTCATTCGACTATTTTGGATGATTGCGATTTGTTTAGAGATAAGATAGTGAAATCATAACAGGTATTGATACGAGTTACAACTTGCAAGGTGTGAAGTAAACACTAGTTCTAATACTAAAATTAGTATTAGAACAGTCAATAACACTTCGAATACTTCATTTTAGTATTCGAATATTTCATTTCAGATATAGCTTTTCGAAAACCATTCAAAGAAGTCACTATATTCATCTGTTGTGATAGTTAATTAATAATTTGATAAGATAAAATATTGTTGTCAACTCTTACTCAATATAGAATTTGAGGTATTTTTTAATAAAAAAACTATATTAACCACACTTTTGGTCGTATTAACCTCACTGTTCCGTGTATGTAACGTCTGTGAAGCCAATGGGGTCAAAAGTGGGGTTAAAGTGTGGAGAATATAGCATGGCTCAATTTTTTTAATATGTAGTTTAAATTGTATTAACTATTTAATTATAAGGTCACACTTTGTTCCCTTTCATTGTGCATTTTTCGTTACTCATTTGATAAATAATAATCATGTCACCTCTTGTTTTATAAAGCTTTAGATGTAATTTTATTTCAATTTGGATTCGATACCCGTTTTCATAAAAAATGAATTGAAAATAAATTTAGTCAAATATCATAAAGCGAAACGGATACCATAAATTGGGACAAAGAGATATTTTTTTTTAAATTTTCATACCAATTTGTAAATAAATAAATTTAAAAAATATGAATTTTACCCGTCATTCGAATAAAATAATTCTTTTAAGGAGTACTATTAAACGTCCCATATTGGGTACCCAATACGGAGCATTTATTATTTTAGTGAAGAGGATATAAGGTGGGCTATTGAGACTATAAGGTGGGCTGTTGGAGAAAGGGACTTGTGGGCTGGACTGTCAAAAGGGATCGTCAAATTCGGGCTAGTTTAACAAGTCCAATAAGAATATCATATCGTCAAAGTAAATTATTTAAGATGAACACGTAGACGTTAAAACCCAAAAGTAAATGGATTCTCTTTCTTCTTTTATTTTCTTTTCTTTTCTTTTTGGTTGAAAAGATGTACTACGGAGCATAGTTTTTAGAACCGAACCGGTGATCGAACCGATCGATGTACTGGTTCACTGGTCGAACCAGTGGTTCAGACATATATATATGTATGTATATATATATATATATATATATATATATATATACATACACACACATATATATATATATACACACACATATATATATATACATATATATATATATATATATACACACACACACATATATATATATATATACATATATATATATATATATAAGTAATTAAAGAGAATAATATTTTCTCTATTTAGATATAAATACTTATGATATTTGGCTAAAGTTATAATCAATTTAATTCAGTTGTGGCATTAAATTAAAAACTAAAAGTTATGTTTTTTAAAGTTTTATAAAATAAGAGTTGATATGATGTTTCAAGTAATTCTAATATTTAAAATGTATATAAATAAAATATTTGTGTGATATGCACTTCCTATTAATATCTATTTATATCAATTGTTACCCAAATACTTATTTTTCAAAGTTATTTGAAGAACAATTTTATTCTTAAAGAATACGTAGTCTTTGATACAAATAAGCAAATGTTCACAATAATGTCAAGTGGCGTAGTAGCACAATGGGTGACAGCTTGGTAGATTGTCTGGAGTATCAAGGGTTTGAACCCTCCCAAGGCAGTAAGTTTTGAAAACTTTAACAAAAAAATAAAAAAATGGCGGTTTGCGGTTTAACCGGCCGGGTTTCGCCGGTTTTATCCGGTTCCCGGCGGTTCACCGCAAGTAGCGGTCTGAAGCATTGGACCGGACCGGTTTGGCGTCCGGTTCGCCGGTTTCCGGTTCGAACCGGCCGGTCCGGTCCGTCCGGTCCGGTTTTTAAAACTATGCTACGGAGTACTCCGTATTAGACTATGTTCTTCTAGGTGGATCGATAGTAGATTGAGATAATTAGAAAAACAATGAAACAGGAAACAATTTTTATTCTGAGTAAAAAACTGGAAACAATTAGAAAAGAATTGAAAAAGATTAGAATTATTTTTTTTCCATACATTAAAAAATATTTTTGTATTTGGTACCCGCAATGCATGGATCCTACAATAAATGTATATTACTCAGTAGTATAATACTGCCTTCGTTAATTAATTTCTTTCTCACTTTTTTTCGTGTCAAGTGAAACCAGGAAAAAAAATTTGGACGGAGAGAGTATTACGTATGTGAAATTTGCACTAAATAAGTACTCCCTCCGTCCGGAAATATTCTTCCCGTGTTGACTTGGCACGCTTATTAAGGAATAGTAAAAAAATGCAAAATTTTCAAAAATGCACATACTATAAACTTTTAAATCTCTTTTTATTATTAAAAAAGTATTTAAAAAGTAGATTTGTGATAAAATAGAATGGTATTATTGATATTTTACCTTAAAAAACATACTAAAAAAGGAAATGGGAAGATTATTTCCGGACGGACCAAAAAGGAAAATGAGAAGAATATTTCCGGACGGAGGGAGTATAAAACATAAGTCATTTTCTAATGTAAAACTTAACTTTTTTATTCCTTAAATAGTACTTAATAATGTCTAATTAGAGGAATAATGTCCAGTGATGGTGGACATTTACTTGAATAATGACTAATATATAGATAATGACTAATGATCCTACATTGGAAAATAAAAAATATCGTCCTATATTGAGAAAGATATTACCCGGAGTATATTTTAGTCCTATTTAGGTAAATTTATCATTACGTATTCTATTTTGGTCAAACCCCCAAATATTTGTTTTTGGACATTTCTTAATAGACCTTATACGAAATAAGGTTGTTTTGAATCTTTTTTATTTTGATTACTTTATTTCTTTTCTTGCTATGTGAGATGGTTTGCTCTTAACATGGAAGTAGCGTAAAATTCTACACATTCTTTTCTTAAAGTTTAATTGAGTGACTTTGGGTGTTTTTCAAAAGAAAAGAGATAAATTAATTACTCCGTATTAATTATCGAGGTTTAATTTTGATCAGGCATTAATGACGTAAAACTCGCAAAACAAGCAATTTTATTAATGCATCCCTGAAAGCAAGGAAAACCCTTCAATCACAAAATAGTTTTCTAAATTTATCCCATCAAGGAATCCATTAACATTTTCATATAAATACACAAGAACACAAATGTATGTCTTGAATATTATCTTCCAAGAAAAAGAACAATGTTTATCCTACGACAAGAACCCCGTCGATTTCATTTACTCGTACGTATGCATGTGTTCGTTAATCAAAATCATTCTTCTTTCATTATTTCTGGCATATTATACAGAAAATCGATCAACTAATTTATATTTGTGATTGTACGTTCAGATTTTTTTTTCCAAATTCTATCGTATATATCCTGAGATTTGTTTTACGCGGGTTTGTGTGTGAAGTTTTTAGGGGCATTGGCCTTCATGATATGTGCACAAGGTGCTGAAATCGCGAAAATTGCTAAGGACGGAGCGAAGGGAAATGTGGGGACTTATCAGGCCATAAATTGCCGAAAACATGTTGCGGTTTTGACGGATTTTGGAGGTGTGGGAGACGGGAAAACCCTAAACACAAAGGCATTTCAGGACGCCATCACCAACCTTAGCGCATACGCTGACGATGGCGGGGCCGAGCTTATCGTGCCACCGGGGAAATGGTTGACTGGCAGCTTTAGTCTCACTAGCCATTTCACACTTTTTCTCCATAAAGATGCAACTCTTCTTGCCTCTGAGGTAACCCTTTTTGTCACAAGGTGGATCTTACTTTAAAATTTTTATATAAAGCCCTTTTAATTTGTTTTATTATTTAATAAAATGTTACAAATGTACAGAACGAGGCAGACTATCCTCTAACTGACCCATTGCCATCCTTTGGAAGAGAAAAGGATTTACCTGATGGGAGGTTTTCTAGTCTCATCACTGGATCAAACCTTACTGATGTTGTAATTACCGGTAATTAATTATTTAATTATTCAATTAGTTAATGTCATTTTCTATCAATGGTTATATATTACGGAGTACTCCGTAGATTGTAACGTGGTAATTTCTTCTTCGATCATGCGTATAATTAATGAGACAGGATATTTTGTTTCTTAAATTGTTAATCATTAAACAAAATTTGAATTAATGTAAAAGGGTTATGAATTTTAATGATGATTAGGTAATAATGGGACGATCGATGGGCAAGGTAAAATTTGGTGGGACAAATTTGACGAGAAAAAACTAAAGGCGACCCGACCACTAATGATTGAGATTATGCACACTACTGATCTCCAAATCACAAACATTACTCTCATTAACTCTCCCATGTGGAATGTCCACCCTGTTTATTGCAGGTTATGCTTATATTATTTATCTAATGTTACCTTAATTTTTCCACTTAATTGTCATTATCTGACATATTAATGTTTTTTTTTGGCAAAATGCAGTAATGTGTTGGTCCAAGGTGTTACGATTATTGCCCCAGTTGAAATTCCTAACACAGATGGCATCAACCCAGGTATGTCCAAATTCACAGTCAGTTTTCATAATTTTTTTTTTAAAAAATAATATTTACTGTGTTTATTTATTTATTTATTTATATATTTCATGTTTTATAACTATGTTTTTCTTGTAGACTCGTGCACAAACACAAAGGTGGAAGATTGCTACATGGTATCGGGAGATGATTGCATTGCCATAAAGAGCGGGTGGGACCAGTACGGAATTAAGTACGGAATACCGACAAAACAGCTCATCGTGAGAAGGCTGACGTGCATTTCCCCCAAGAGCGCCGCCATCGCCTTGGGAAGCGAAATGTCGGGCGGGCTCGAGGACATCCGGATCGAGGACGTCACCGCGGTCGACACCGAGTCGGCCGTCCGGATCAAGACGGCCCCGGGGAGAGGAGGCTACGTGAAGGGCATTTTCGTCAAAGACATGAAGCTGGACAACATGACGTACGTCTTCTGGGTGTCTGGGAAGTACAAGACCCACCCGGACGACGGGTTTGACCCGAAGGCGCTCGCAAAGATCGACAACATCAACTTCATGGACGTGGTGGCCAAGAACGTGAACATGTCGGGGTCGTTCGACGGTTTCCCCACGGACCGGTTCACCGGGTTCTGCCTATTGAACATCTCGATGACTCTGAGCTCTCACCCTAAGAAGCTCCAGTGGAATTGCACGGACGTCGAGGGTGTCTCGAACAATGTCACTCCTGAGCCTTGCAGTTTGTTGCAAGGAAAGGGCGCTGCAGAGTGCACTTTCCCCACAGACAAACTACCCATTGAGGACATTGTCCTCAAAACTTGTGATGTCAAAGGAGTTTCTTCCTCTTAATTTAGTAGTGTTGTAACTCTTACAACTTGTTTTTACTATGATATAGGTGTTTGAATCTTGGATAGCTACAAATAATAATGATGGCAAGAGAGATATTGACACCAAAAAAGTAATTATAAATATATATAAAAATCATTCTTTTCAAGGTCGGGTGTATTTTAATGATTGGTCATTATTGTCGAGTACTCCTGTGCTCTAAAACTAACTTCCCTATTTGATTAAGTTTCTTTTTTTAATGAAGTGTAAGAATTCCTTTTGACCTTTCCAAAGCAATATTTGTAGCACTATTTCTAGACGCAAATAGTTTATGAAAAATAAACGAAAATTCTCGTAATTTTTGAATGATGAAGAGTGTAAATCTTTGTAGGACGGGGGAGTATGAAATAACGAGTTGCTATAAGATGACAAGAAATACTAACATAGAATGCCAAATTATGAGTTTTTTATAATGCCAAAGTTTTATTTCAACACGAAGTATAAATTTCAAGTTAGTAGTTTTTTTTAAGTAGATTTCTTAATTTTAAAAATCTAAATAGATTATATAATACTACTCCCTCCGTTCCACAAAATCCTACCTCATTCGTTTTTCTTTGCTTTCCACAAAACACCCATTTTCTATTAAAAAATCACTTTTACCCCTACTTTTTCATTCCCTACCTATCATATCATACTTTTTCACTAATAACCAAACTATCACATCTTACTTTTTTCCATCACATCAGAGGTAAAATTGGAAAGTCAACCAAAATTACGTTTTTCTTATTTTACCCCAAAGTCAAAACCGGAAGGGTTTTGTGGAATGGGGGGAGTATAACATTGTGAAATATCTTCCTCGTAAATGTTACGTTAACGCAACTACATGTCCAGATTGTTGACTGCTTTAAGCATTATTTAAGCTGAAATAATGAAAGATAAAAAGCCAAACAAAAAAAGTTTAATGACGGTGTTGACGAATCTTGTGTGTGTTTTCGATCACATCAATATATTGTTTATATCAACAAAAGTCCAAAACATATTTTCATTTGAAATTGGCCCCAAAACCAAAACCATTGGTTCTAAAATCATATCAGAAATGAACCAGCTAACTAACAAGCCTGTTTTTTTCTCTTTAATTTTAACTAAAATATAAAATCTGAATAACAAAAATGTAAAGTTCAAAAAAGAAAAAAAAAGCATGTCATGCTACATGAATCGTACCAGTAGTCCTAGGGGCTAGGACTCCAAAAGAATCGTACCAGTGGTCCTACGGGCTAGGACCCCTGGGACCATAACCGAGACACCCCTGAATCCTCGGTCCTAAAAATGAAAACATGTTCCGGTTAGCTCCTTCACCAACCATTCAAGAAGAGAAAACATGTTCCCATGACAACTAACAGAAACCATTTATTTCCATTTGCAACTTACACTGTTTATAACATTACATTACATTACATGCCCACTGCAACAGCACCTTTCACACATGTCTTACAAAAAAAATGGAAATAATGAAACTCACAGTTCCAACCTAAAGACCAACACAGAAGAGAAAGATGTGGTAAGGTGGGAGGCAATGGAAGAATGCTGCTTTTCATGAAGAGGCAAGGAAGGACTTGGGGGGAAGCATCAGTAATTTTTTTTTAAAAAAAACCAATAACTGGTAACTAACATCACCACCAACCTTCTTCACACAAAATAACTAGAAATTTACAGTAAATATTGGGACCCACGCGCATAAATTACCGCTAACTGAAGTGGTTGCTGTGTATATGTACCAGTTGCTGATGATATACAGCAGGACCCCTTCCAGCAGCTAGTGAATTCTTGTTTGGTTATGAATCAAGGGTTAATGGCTTATTGCCGATAATGCCCTTGTCTTCGAAAATCCTACCCGAGCCACGGTTGGTCATTCTGCCAAAAGATCCCACAGCTGATAACCCCTTGAAGCTGCTACTGCCGCCGCCTGTGCCCTCACTGCCATTCCAGGATCTCCTGTTGCTTTTTTTCACAGGAGAGTGGGCCCCCGCGTGATCGATGATGTCATTCTGAACCTTTATGGCGCTCAGCCGTTCAATGCTGCTGCGGCAAAACGGGCAAACGGGTGGAGCTGTATCGGTCGTGGTCGGGTTCGGTTTGTTGTGACAGCACAGAGCAAGTACGCATTGCGCGCACATCTGGTGGCCACAGTCTTGTACCTCAATTGTGCAGACTTGATCAAAACATATGCAACATAGTTCTGTATCACTCCCCTGCATATATATATACTTAAATAATTAGACTTCTGCTTTGGGTAAATAATGGGCTAAATCAAAATGGCACATTAAACTTCGTTTGCTTCTTAGTTTCAATGAAGTTTTGGGTAGTAAATGCAGCAAGGCCTCGAGGGTCTACCAGAAAAAGTCTCTCTGTATTTTACAGGGATAAGGCTATGTACATCTTGAGCCCCATACCCCAATGAATTGGGATTGTACTGGCTTGTTGTTGCATACTAACGAGCCATTTGCCTTTGATTTTTAAAGTTGATTTAGTGTTGCATATGTTAAAAATTCTAAAAAGTATCCATTGCTGATTTTTCTTTCAGAATCCGATTTTTAGAAGTAAGCAATTATTGGATTGATTCTTTAGAAGCAGCTAATGCCGAGAAAGGAGAACAGAATTTGTCCAAAAAGAGAAGTGAAGCCAAATGAGCCCTAAGTAAACGGAAATTTAGTGGGTGTTTCTCCGCTCTTCAAAAGTGTGTTTAAGTCAGCTGATGACATGTTTCTCTGGTCTCAAAAGCTGACTTATAAGCTACTTATAAGCTAAAAAAATAAGTAGCCTACTTATTTTTAAGCCAATTTTTTTTGTTTCTCCGTTTTGACCAGATCAACTATAAAACTACCGTGACCTTTTGTGAATATCCCAAATTGACTTGTCTCCCATTTAAGTCACTTTCAAAAAAAAAAATACTAAAGCAAGAAACTATAAGTTAAAAGTTGCTTATCAGCAATAATCCAATAAGCATCAATGAATGCGACCTCATTAGAAAGTATTCTACCTTTGAAATATTATCATCATCAATGTTGGCCTCTGAATGAGAAGGAGAAGGAAGTGTGTAGGAAGTCCCCTTTAATATGCTCTTCTCCCTCTCTTTATTTGCATCCATCAGAGCGCGCTCCAACAAAGCTTTTGCATCATCATTTAGCTCACTGATGAACTTGAGAGGCGAAGGCCATACAATTGGCTCGGCCGATGAAGGGTTCAGCAAAGCTGCACAGGCACTGTGGCTATGCCTTAAAGCAACCATATATGGTATTCTCCTGTAAATGTCATCCATACTCAATCATGAAGAGGTGTCTTCATTATCATTATTATACTGAGCATCAAGACAAATAGATCATAAGACTTCACATTCTTAATGTTTTGGTTAGATACGGACATACGGTTGAAAATTATTGATAAGAAAAGAAATCAACATGTAGCCAATCCTAGGCTGTGTTTGGATATTTGAGTTCAAACTAGTTTGGAGTATTGTTCTCCCTGTGTTCTTCCCATGACATTTTTTTGGATTCCAAATGTACCCCTAGTGAAAAAAATACAAGAAGGCATGAGATAAGTACCCAGAAGTGTCTCTTTGAATTCGATCTGCACCCCATGCCAACAGTTCACGGACACAATCAAGAGATCCCCCTCTTGCAGCCAAATGAAGAGGAGTGCTGCCTGGAAACCTGTTGCACTATATATCTCAGTCTTAAATTCATGAATTCTCAAGAAAAAGTATAAACCAAAATTATAATAGTAGAAAAAAGGAGGGTTCAAGAACCACCCGTATCCGCCTGTCGATGCACAAACCAAAGCTCCATTGTTCAACAAAATACGAACATTAACAGGGCGTCTCTGACGAGAAGCCAAGTGCAAAGGTGTTGCTCCCTTGCCATCTCTAACATTCACAAATCTGGCATATCCCCTACACACATTACATTCATCTCACAAGGTTAGAAAGTTCTCCTTAGCAAATCTGTCCATAAAAACAAAGGCTCCGTTTGGTAACTAATTCTGCCTTTTCTGGCACATCAGAAGAAGAAGAAGAATAAGTAGCCACCGAGTTACTTATTTGGCCGAAACTGGTGATACCAATCAAGCACTTCTACATTCACCATTCAATCATCTATTTCAGCCAAATAATTCTTACCAAACAGGAGGTCGTAAAGAACAAAGAACAAATATAAGAATCCTAGCAAGGCACAAACCAAGAAACAGAAACATGGGATGTTCGAGCCGTAGAGAGAATTGTTTCGACGCAATCGGAATGGCCATAGTAAGCAGCATAGTGCAAGCACGTTCGCCCGTGAAGTGAATCGAACTTTAATATCTACGAAATCAAGAAATTTCCAAGATCAGCCAACATAACAATGTTTCCAAATTGTACCTCCAAAGTACATAGTTATCATAGTATAAATGAAATGATAGCTCACATTAGCTCCAGCTTCAATGAGCTTTTGCACACAAGTGATCTTTCCATGCATTGCAGCCAGCATCAATGGAGTCTAAACCATCCAAAATCAGCAGTCATTGGGGAAAAAGAAAAGAGAAAATCCACACAAAAAAATTAAGCAGAGAATGAATAAGTGATGCGTATGAAGCCAGAAAAGAACCTGCTTGTAGCGATTCAACAGATCAGGGTTAACAGATAGGGTTAAGAGCAAATTGACAACCTGAGAATATGAACCGACAAAAACCCATCAAATGCACATAAGAAAGAACACTAATCTCAGCATAAATTTAAAAAAAAAAACATCTTGAATTTCAGTTAAAAAAAGAAAACGAAAAAGAAAAGTTACCTCTGTCTGGCCATTGGCGGCAGCTATGTGCAGAGCAGAGTGGCGATCATACACCGTGGTGTGTCGAACCAGGCCCGGTTCTCTGGCTAGAACCGCCGCCACCGTTTCCACGTCACCACACTGCACCGCCGTGAACAGCCCGTGCTCGTCCGCCGTCCTGCAACTCATCCCCTGGCCCATTCTTTGATTCACGCGTGTGAAATTGGGCCGGAAGCGGAGAAGCACCTCCGCGCACGGCGGTCGACGGCGGGTATGGGGCAGAGCGGAGGCTGACGGGCGGAATAAGAACGCGTAAAGGGTCTACATAATAAATGCAGACAAGTCAGGGCAGCCTGTACAGGTGTGGAAGTTTTCGGAGTGGCTGCCCGAAATGGAGAAAGATGAGACGCCGGGCAGCTGACCGTGTCAGAGGAAGGATGGTGAAACACTGAAACCCAAACAGGGGAAAACTGACAGCG